TGGTTTTGCGCCACTTTTAGCAATATTCTAGCAATATCACGGCAGGGGACACCAGAAATGGGCTTCACATTCGGGAATCGAACCCGAGTCTTCGGCGTGACGAGCTAACGCTTTAACCACAAGGCTACCCGACCACCCCGAAAGCTTTACTGAGGCCATGAATGTTGAATATAACTCTTATGGAACAAGTGTCGTATGACGCTCTTTGAAATCCCCGTATAAAGAGCATGCTCTATGTACCTAAACACTTGTATGTCACCAAAAGTCCGGAGCTGCTGAAATATTGCCAGACATGAAAATAAAATTGACTTTTGTAATGCAGTTTTGTGGATACATTCTGTATGTCATATATGAAACATATAATACAATATATCTTAATATGAAACAGATGAAGCGGTTTCACTGGTCTCTTATAATTTTAGCTTAGGTTTATCAACTGACCAGCATACGCGGGGACATTGAAGCATACACATCAAAATAAGGAATTGCATCGGATATAATGTTGGCTTTATTAGATCTCACCCGCCGATTTATCTGACCAAATTTATATAATATATACTCACACGCAAAAGAAACGCAAGTGTTTTAAGCAAATAGGTAACAAACACGGAACCATAAATTGATACGAGTTTTAGCATGTAGTGAAGCTTGATGGTGTGATCAAAATTTTTGGTTGCATTTTGGAAGCCCCGAGTAAACACGCAACATAAAAAACGAATAGCCAAAACACACCATTTCAATGAATATGTGGGTATCATGCACCCATTTCTCGCGAGATCGAAAATGCACGAACATTAGTGGGTATAAAACTGTGGCTAGTTCTTGGACCTACCACTCCTTGGTCAAGAATGCCACGCCTAACTCAAATTCAGAGAAACCAGGCTATCGGACGTTTGGAAGCTGGAGAGTCTGTCCAAGATGTTGCCCGTCATTTCAACGTTAACATAACCACAATTTACCGTCTCCTTCATCGATACAGTGCTACACAGACCACAGATGACCTTCCTCGGAGCGGTCGTCCAAGGGTCACCACACCTCGACAAGATCGGCAGATTACCCGTCAACACCAGCGACATCCGTTCCTAACTGCAAGTGAAAGTGCTCGACAGACCATAGGAACACACAATCGACACATTAGCCGGGACACTGTGATCCGACGTCTCCGTTCCAACAACCTCAGATGTCACCGACTAGCACGTCGTCCTGTTCTCCAACCACGGCATCGACAAGCACGACTTCAGTGGGCACAGGGTCATCACAATTGGCGTCATCGTGAGTGGAGACGTGTCATCTTCTCTGATGAAAGTCGCTTTTGTGTCTCCCATGCAGACGGAAGAGTCAGAATTTGGCGGCGTCGAGGTGATCGTTTCGCTGCCAGAAACGTTGTTGAAAGGGATCCATGGGGTGGACCTAGCGTCATGATGTGGGCAGGGATTGGACTTAATGCGAGACTTTGACCCATGTGCTTTCTGAATGTTGATCAAGGTCGGGGACACGGCGTCACTGCTCAGCGGTATATCGACCAAGTGATCAGACCCCACGTTGTTCCATTTTTTTGCACAACATCAACAACACATTTTACAGCAGGACAACGCTCGTCCACATGTTGCCAGAGCTACCATGGCCTTTCTGCAACAACACAACATCCGTGTTATACCGTGGCCAGCCCTCAGCACTGATCTGAACTCAATCGAACACTTGTGGGATGAGGTTCAAAGGCGTCTGCACAATGTGCGCCCAGTCCCTACAACTGCCAATGAACTACGCACAGCTGCTCTGGATGTGTGCAGGAGGATCCCTAGGGCCTTCACAAATCGTCTTATCCACTCAATGTACAGTAGATGTGTGGCAGTGATCAATGCTAATGGTGGTCACACCAGGTATTGGCTGACATTTTGGGTATTGACCCGAAACTGTGTAAGCCCTTAACATTTGAAAAAAACAATTATGTCATCTGCCTTTTAATCCATTAAACTGTCTTCAGTCAAATTTTAGTCAATCTAGCCCTATTAGTATTTCTTGTCTTTACTGTTGAAAATAAATAACATGTTTTCTGCATACTCAACTTGCGTTTCTTTACCGTGTGAGTATGTATTGTGACATCATTAAGGTTCAACACATGGCATATTCATAAACGAACGGTTTTGAATTATACAACAGGTACGTTCGCGTCCACAAAAATACCGATTGCTTAATGGACAATTGATTAGCAGGATACGTTAATTGTTCATGGATTACTAGTACTAGTAAATCCAACTTCTTTCAGTGGCATTTAGAAGTTGGTGTGATGAAGTAAGACGAGTTCTATGGATGAACAACTTCTTTATTACAATTAGTGCGACGTTTCGGTGTAGATCCCAACACCTTTATCAAGCAAGTGATGGATAGTGCTAAACAACATAGATATATATATACTTATTAACATCAAAGTTTATACAGTCAATGATTGATGGACACAGAGAGCTGATTAAGATAACTGGAAGCCAGTGGATGACTAGTGAACACAGAGTCAACAAGCAGACTGATAGAGATGATGGAAGCCAGTGGATTAATTGGATGGACATAGGGATTTAGCAATTAGGTGATGGTAAGCAGGTGGGATGTAATAGCCTTGGTCTCTGTTCATTGCTGGCTGGATCCTTTTGATGTAGATGGCTTCTAGGAGTTTCCTGATTTTGTAGTCTGATTGATTGTTGGCCAGCATTGATACAGTATTCCAGAGAGGCAGGACAATCCAGAACATCCTCAGGGTCAAAGGCAAGCCCCCTACATCAAAGAAAGAAGACCAAGCTGGTGCCGTATATCACATAAAATGTGACTGTGGCGACTCCTATGTAGGAGAAACCTCCAGGCCACTACCCATTAGAATAAAAGAACAAAAGACCTCAGTACAAAAAAATGACTCAAAATCAGCCATCTCCGACCAAACCCAAACCCACCCCGACCACAACATCCGGTGGAACAGCATCAAGACCCTGGCCAACAATCAATCAGACTACAAAATCAGGAAACTCCTAGAAGCCATCTAAACTGACGTCCAAAAGAAACTTTACCAACTGAAAATATAAATTTCAGACAAAGCATAATTTTTTTTCGATGAAGTCTATCTCAAACACATAACTTAAATACAACAATAGTGTATGCAGAAAATGTTAATCGTCTGTTACATGTTTGCGATATAACACGCGAAGAAGTGAAAAACACGTGCACCACGGACAACTGCAAATGCACGTGCGGGTAAGGGTATAAAACGATTGCAACGGCAAGTCAGACATCCACAGTGATAAAAAAAACACCAAAGAAATGCCAGAACATACAGTCGAACAACGTGAACGAGCCTTGGGTATGGTACAGATGGGATCCACCCACGCCCATATTGCACGAACCTTCGGATGCTCCCGTGTTGCCGTTACCAACTTGATGCAACGTTACAGACAGACAGGGCGGACCGCTGACAGGCCAAGAACAGGCAGACCCAGGGTGACCACGCCCCATGATAACCGGTACTTTGCACCTCCGAAATCGCTTCCTGACAGTGACGTCATCGGCGACAAATGTCACAGGGTTAGTCGACAGACATAGGCCAGGAGACTCTGGGGTCATGGAATCAGGGCTTTTAGACCATACAGAGAAGAGCTATTGACAGCGCAACATCGTCGTCTGCGATTGAGATGGGCCCGGACTGTACGACGTTGGCACAACGTGACTGGCAGAGGGTTGTCTTCACTGACGAAAGTCGATTCTGTATGTTTAGGGCTGATGGAAGACAACGTGTTTACCGCCGAAGGGGTGAACGAACGGCGGCGTGTTGCGTGCAGGAGGTCGTACCATATGGTGGAGGGAGTGTCATGGTGTGGGGAGGGATCTGTGGGCAGGAGAGGACACCGCTGGTCATCGTTGACGGAAACTTGACAGCTCAGCGTTAAATGGATAACATTCTTCGTCCAGTTGTCCTACCATTTATCCAACAGCAGCCACGTGGTGTCATTTATCAGCATGACAACGCTAGAGCCAATTCAGCCAGAATTGTCACTAACTTCCTCGCAGCCAACAACGTCAACGTCCTGCCGTGGCCTGCACGCTCACCCGACATGGGCCCCATAGAACACCTCTGGGACTTGATGGATCGTCGCACTAATTGTAATAAAGAAGTTGTTCATCCATAGAACTCGTCTTACTTTAGTAAATCCAAGTAATGACTCTCGGCTGGTGGTCAAATGAAATGGTTGCAGAAGCCAGTGTATGAAAATACGATGTCTGAAAACACCTTACCGGCCATTTAAATTTGGGTTCCCTTAAATATGTTTTTATACAAATTTCAAATATTCTACAACTTTAAAGAACGATATATGAAAATGGGCAGTTGTAGGTATGTTTTGGTGCAACTGATTATTGAAACATTTCCTTATTATAATGAACGTGTGTTATGGAAAGGGCCCTTTCGAGCTGCACAAGATCTCACCGTTATTAGCTACTTCCCACAAATTACACATTGGTGAATATCAGAGGGTAAACTGTTGGTACCAGTTATAAATCTAAATTTGTAAAAGAAGTCAATACATTTCACTTAAACTAATACTTACTATACATCTATTTTAGCATGTTTTGTTCTCATAAACGGTTTTTCAAAGTTTGGAAGGAACAAAAATAATTTCGTCAATAAACGTCATTAACAGCATCTATCTATCTCCTGAAATTAAATCTTATATTTTTTTTCAGAACGAGTGCCGTGCCATGTACTGTCGCTCGGGGTACCGTCTGAAGGGTGAAACATGTCAATTAACAGCTGTCGGACTCTCCAGAGTTGAGTACACAATTGCGGTCCTCTTTCGACCAACGGAAAACAACACATCCGACCCCAGGCTGAAAGACTGGAATTTCACAGAGCTTTTGGTTGTCCGTAACATACCATCAGTTGCCGAGAAGTACAATATGGCCTATTACATGTTTTCTGTTGAAAAGCCTGTGTACACTAACATTGCCAATAGTTCCAGATTTGTCCATGTGCCATCCTTTGGACTGACATTGACGTTCAGGACAAACCAAACCTGTTGTCGGGATACATTTGAAGAAACTATAGTGGCGTTATTGGAGGATAATTGGTCGATGGAGTATAATGGTTCGGAGTTTCAGTTTACGCCGTCTAAGGATAATTTTTATACTTATTCAAAGAGACAGTTATACAAGATGCATCCTCCCTACACCAATCCACAGAAAGCCGAGATGTTTGACATCCTTCCGTTGGAGTATGTTGAAACGCCCGAAGATTATGTTTACTATCCCTCTGTTTTGCCACATTGTTCGTATGTGAACCTCTCTGTGAATGAATTTAACTGGAACACTGATGCGTCTATCACTCTTCAGTATGTGGGTATAACAATACAGTTCGATAAATTCATTAAAATGGACGAACAAAATATAATTATATGCGTGGACACGATGAAAGAGTTGTATTCAAACTACCAAGATCCAGTCAAACTGGCTGAACATATTTTATCACTAGTCTTCTCCATTCTGTCCTTAATCTGTTTGGCCTTGACCTTCATCACCTACTGCACATTCCCTTCCCTTCTCACTCTGCCCACGAAGAATACGATGTGTCTGGTCGGGTTTCTATTCTTGGCTCAGTTGCTGCTTCTGTTAAAGGATGTTGCCATCCGGAATGAAACTGCTTGCAAAATAATTGGAGTTTTCATACATTACTTGTGGCTCACAGTTATATTGTGGATGAACGTCTGTTCCTATCACATGTTCCACGTCTTCGTAGTCGATTCTGCAAAACCGATCGGTACCCAAAGTCATCGTAGTCGTCTTCTGAAATACTCCCTCTATGCCAATGGATTGTCTCTGATCATTGTTCTCATTACCATATTTTCAAATCTCGGCGTTTCGTCGGGAAGCCATATCGGCTATGGTGTAACCACGTGCTACCTGAATACGTCACTTCTTGTTGGTGTTGCTCTTGTGGCTCCTCTAGGCGTCGTACTCATCTTGAACATCATTTTCTTCAGCGTCAGTGTGTGGACGATGGCCAAGATCAACAAAATGAGCGCAAGTATTGGGGCTGAGAAGAGTCAGGTACACATTTACATTAAATTATCCACACTGACAGGGATCTTTTGGATCCTGGCAATCCTCGGTGATGTTCTCCAGCAGCAAGTCCTCATCTTCATCTCCATCGTCCTGAACGCCAGTCAAGGGACCTTCATCTTCATCTCCTATGTTGCAAATAAAAGGGTTCTTCAACTTTGGAGAGACAAAATTAACAAATACATACCAACTGCCGACAGTCAATCTCCTGATCAAACCAGGAGTACTCATTTTTGAACAACAAGGCGAAATGTTCTTTATTGCAACTGATTGAGAATGTATGTATATATTACATTGTAGTGATGTGGTATTTCAAACTTTCTGGAATGAAGGAAAACCTGAAGAAGCATCCGAATAGAGATTAAATTAATTCAAGAGGACATGTTGAAACATGGTGTTACAATCCAAACTTGGCTAATGACATGAACAGAACCTTCTGAAACACGGGTATAGGAATTGAGTTCATAAAATACGTGGTTCGTTATACCCGATCTCGTATCGTGACATTGACATTCGTAGTGCATATCCTTGCGTCATCAGTTTTCGCTCGGATAAGACACATGTGCTCATAAAATACAAACGCATATTAGAACAGTTATAATATGGTACGTACCTGTTAATATGGTCAATGTTTTTATTCAAATGTTTAATGAGAAAGTACATGAAGCGAAAGTCCGTATCGATCGCTTCCGAAGTTCCGAGTGGGGACATGACACTTTGGAATGACGTCATATGTTTTCGCTCGCCTTATTGGATTGCTATTTACGTCCACTGAGCCTCACACAAGCTTGTCATATGTACAGTGAGGGAATCCCTATCACAAAACGACATCAATCAAGTTAATTCCGGGTGAAAAAAGTGTCCAAATTTAAATAATTGGATGCATTACACAGTCACAAAATATTTACACAATTACAATGCACATCACTCCTCTGGCTCATCGTGACAGGGACACCAAAACTATGCATTTCGTCTCACACATCTGACAGTCGTGCAATAGATCAGATGCGTCCAATGTGAACATTCGGGTGGTGCATTGTGCCCATTTAGAAAATATGAGCGATGTACATTGTCGTACTTCTTCTGGTTGCCATTTTTTGCAGTTGCAGCAAAGTGCACTCACATCATTATATGATTCTTCTGTATCTATCAAGTCTGCATCAAGGACTGCCGTGCTAATGACACCAGAAGTTCCCGGAGTCGGTAGAGTGGGCGGGATATTCCTTCGAACAGTAGAAGTCGTAAACTTTCTGGACTTGTATGTACAGGTCACTGGTGTTGATTTAATATTTTGGCTTTCTCTCAATGTGCCACTATCTTGGCCAAGATATTGTCCTCCGTTATAGCTTTTCCTTCAACAACCGAACTCAGGACCTTTCTTTTTTGTGGGCTTAGGATCTGTTGTCAGAACGTGTTCAGCGTTTCTGAAGACACTGGTACACCTGGTGGTACTGACGTCGACGTTGTCACCTTAGGAAATCGTCGTTGTGGAAGGTGTACATGTAGTAGACGTCTCAACACTTGTCCTGAAAACAGTTGATGGAAGAATTGTGCTCTGTTTATCTACATCCCTGTTTAACGGGTATATGCCTGCAGACTGCAGATTCACTGGTGAGAGGGCAGCACAGTAAGCTGTAATGCGACTTCGTTTATTGAATATCTGTCAATCCCAGACCTTACATGTTCCCTGATGAATTTGTGTCTGAGGCCGATGTAAATTCTCTCGAAAGGCCAAGCAGCCAACGTCCATAGGTTGGACTAGATGCGGTGTATGCGCTGGCAAGATGAAGAGAATTATGTGCTTTTCGCATGCCCACTCGATAAGTGACAGATACTAGTATACATGTGATTTATGGCCATCAGAAAGAACCAGGAATGGATAATCTGCTGTAGCCTCAACACAGTACTTGCTGAAGAGATTCTCAGGATATTTCTGAAAGATCTCCGTGTTGGACCAACCTGTTTCACTGACGGTGCCTGAAGAACCGGGAGTACATCCTGTCAAAAGTTCATCCCTCATTCGCTGGCCCTCAAACACGAAGCAGGGGGGTACCGTCATTCAAAGTGTGCTTCCGAATCCTAATACAGTCGTTGTGTTGGACCTAGGTATTGTGACAGCAACCATGGCGTCGGAAACTACACGGGGAGTAGTGTGGCTCTGCACTATCCTTTTTTGTGTCAATGTTATAAATCGACTGAGGTCTGCCTCTTAGGTTGTACCAGGATCTGCTCCAATTCGTCGAAATAGGCGTTGACAGTCCTTTCCGATGTGGCCTTTGCTCTCATGATCTCCAAAGAGCGGGGCTTCTGCTCTCAATGCTCTGGCCATCTCTTAAGAAAACTGTAAAACCACAGAAGTGAAAAAGGGTTGTCATCTTTTGGTTTCTTGCCTAAACAGACGGCAAGATCGGTGGCTAAAGCTGTAACTTCTGCCAGAGAGTTGCCATACTCAAAAGCAGATATCATCTCTACATCTCTTGGTATAATAACGCATTGGGTCCCGATCTCACACATTCAACAGACACTGTTCCACAAAGTCGATCGCGAAGAGACGAATAGGGCACCGAAAACTGTCGTCCTGCACTTTTGAGTCATTCCCCGCCTTCCCTTGACGGCCTGGTAAGCTTTGTCCATGCTTTCTGGTAGCTATTGCCGATAATTGCCCTTCCCTGATCTGATGGAGCCCTAAAAACTAAAACTAAAACTAAAACTATCATGACATTAACGTAAAACATGAATATATCCACAGAAAGTACGCATGATATAAGAGATGGTCCCACTGCCTTTCCATACATTTTATCACGTGATGGTTATGTGATTTCCTGATAGCCGATATCAGCACCAATCAGATCTATAACTTTGACAGGACTAAAACCTTTCTAATACAGGTTTTCGTAGTGGTGAGTTAGTGATCTCTGTTTCAAACCAATGTATTTCTCAATTGTGTTCAATAACTTACGTTTTGTAGCTTGATTCTGAGCATTTTGTCACTGGGGCGGTAGCAGGACAGTGCTCGTTGACAAACAAGCTGCCGGTGAAGTCACATCTCGTAAAATATCAGAAAAAACGCGATTCAAAAGGGCCGAGCGGAAACATATGTCGAGCGAAAACACGTGACGGTACTGCATACACCGACAAGCACATATGTTGTTTTTTTAAATTTCAGAATTAATTTCGAAAGATTTTCACTCGCTCGAATATTTGTAATAAAACAATTTTTTTTGTCGTCGTGTGAACTATGTAGAAACTAAGGAGAAACCAAATACGTGTCAGCTGTTGGCTCATGGTCCATGGAGTGTAAATGGTTCACTGCAAAAGAGAAGTTTATCTCGGACCATGTAAGAGTAGCCAAGTGATTAGGGCGTTTTCTCGTCATCCTTTAAACTAGGTACGACTGCACTGTGCATTGTGTTGAGCCTATTCTTCGAATTCTCGCCTGGCCACATTCATATCGCATACACAAAGCTGCCCCCACCCCCTCCCAACACACTCACCCTCCCCGCGCTCAAATGCGACTACAGTATGTTCACAGAAATCCTACTATTTGTTTATTGTTGAAAAATCGTCAATTTTTATTACTGTATTAGTTTCACCGTCTAAATATTTTGCCGTGAACATGGTTCCTGGGTTATGTTATGCAATTACGTGTATGCTAATTAAACTTTCGTTGTGTTCATTGTAATTCCTGCATTCTAATTAGGTGAACTGGTCAAGTGTTACTGTTTTCATTTCCCAATGAATGTAAAGAATTAGGCCACGCCCACCGAAGCGGACTACGTTTATCACTACGGAATGTCTGGGAATCCCAATATTACAGCCGAGGGAATTCCATTTCTGCTAACGTGTATCGTCATGCACAGGGCATTTAACGAAACTCATGCATATTCATTGTCCAAACTATTCTTTGAGACCGAAGGCCGAGATGGAATACTACAGCAACCGTGGAGGCTCGCTCGCCTGTTTTTTTCCTACTCGACTGGGTTTAACAAATTTCATATCTTTCGGGTTTCATTTCTAACCCGCATTTTTCGAAGTGTGTCTTCCCTTACTCAGGGAACTAATGTTTCAATCTGGCGTTGACTAACCTTGTCATTTCAAACATCCGCCTTCTCCCGGACATATTTGTTCCGGTTCGTTACAGTCTGACTGTTGCAGTTCTTCTCGTGTCTTGCCTTGATTGACAGATCCTATGAACTTTGTTTTGATCCTACTCTCCGTTGATTGACCACTGACTTTCTTGGTTAAACTATTGTAGATAACACATGTCATCGTTGTCGAATTGTATTATAATCATGCAAACTTTCGTAAGAATCCGCTACGCGGATTCATACAGTTTGCACATCCGTGTTTCGTTTCATACCTTAATGAACCTAAAAAAATCCACAGTCAATCCTTAAATATATACTGAACAACAAAAGTTCTTGTGACATTGAATAAGATTTAATGCAAAGTTATGTTTTTTACCAAATCTGAAACAATTTCGGTTTGCAACAGATAAAAGACTCCTGTAAGTGTTTAAAAGGTTTAATTTGCCATACTGATTTCATAAAAAAAAACCATGAACATGCCAAAATGTCAATTTACAAATCAGTAGCGTGTGTGTCCACCTCTGGTTGCGATGCAAGCAACACATCTTCGTCTCATGGAATGGACCAGGCGTCGCACAAAGTCCTGTGGAATATGTGTTCATATCTGCTGGAGCATGTTTCGAAGTTCCTGGAGCGTCTGTGGAACACGTGGTTGACGTCGAATGCGCCGATCCATCTCATCCCACATGTGCTCGATTGGTGAGAGATCAGGGGAGCGAGCCGGCCAGGGGATGACATTCACGTTGTTTTGTTGAAGAGAATCCTGAACAAGTCGAGCAATATGAGACCGGGCGTTGTCATGTTGAAAGGTAATGCCTGGGCCTTGACGACGCAAAAACGGTAGAACAACAGGGCCGATGATCTCGTGGCGGTAGCGCTGTCAATTGAGATTTCCCTCTACCACTATCAAACGGGTCCTCTGTCTTGCTGTAATCCCACCCCATATCATAACGCTGCCGCCCCCGAACCGATCTTCTTCCATGACACAATGATTGACGTAACGTTCACCTCGACGTCGGTACACTCGAATCCTGTGACTGTGACTGAGATGAAAACGAAAATCTCGTCAGTGAATAGAACTTGTCCCCACTGCATGGCCGTCCAGCGTAGACGCTGTCTGCACCACTGCAAACGTGCTCGACGGTGGTTTCCTGTCAAAATGGCACGTCTGGCGGGTCTCCTGGCGACAATCCCTGCACATCTGAGGCGACGACGTACGGTTTGTGAAGATATTCGTCGAAGGCAAGGGATGCTTCTTGCAGTCACTGTTGCTGGCTGGAATCGATTTCGTATGTGTGTTGTTGGAATCCAGTTGTCTTGTCGATTATTGGTAACGCGTGGCCTGCCACTCCGAGGTTGGTCTCTGACTGTATTTGTCTGTTGCCAATGTTGCCATAAACACCAAATGATGTTTCTGTGGACGTATAATTGTCTTGCAACATCACGGTGACTCGATCCTGCTTCAAGCATACCAATAGCTCGCAGACGCCAATTTTCGGACAGGCGTGGCATTTCGTAATGTTGAATAATTGCGTAATTTTTTTGTTTTTCTGAGTGGTTGTTATCAGCACGATGCTAAGCAATGCATGTGGAATCCCGTTAACGCACATGTTTTATACCCATTCTTGGGTAGTGAAATGCATGGGGCTTGCATAAAAGTCAACTTGTGCATGGAATGCATCCTTTTCTGTAGCAGTTGCATTTTTGTGACTTGATTCCATACATGTACAACAATATTGAAAACCAAACTTTACTTGCTTGAAAAATACACTTAAATATTGGTGTCACGGGAACTTTTGTTGTTGAGTACATGTATATAATTAGATAATTAGTATCGTACCTTTATTATCTGTTATTGTACAGGATGTGACTTACATTCTTGTGCTTAGAATTGAATTTACCTCTGGATATTTGTAATAGGTTATGACTTGGCTTATGAAATATGCGCCTGGACTAAAATGCAAGGAAAGCTTCATTGTGAATTTCTTGACCATAATACATTGCATATTAAGATATCAACATTTAATTGTATTATGTTCTTGTAAATAAGCGATAATTCATCACCACGAACAGGCTCAAGGACAAGAGATAATTTTGATTCCTCAGTTATAACGTATCTAAAAAGATTTGGACTTTATCATGATATTTTCTCGTATATTCCAGAAGGAAAGTGATCTTAACTTCTTAAATTTGTCACTGTGTTTTAAGACAATAAAATATATAAAATTCGACTTGAGAGCTGTCTTTCGTCACCCAAGATCATACACTCATATCAGAATCAACTCCAAATTGATTTTACGTTATTAAAAATTATAAAGAGAGTTAAATATTTGACCGTATTTTATAGCCCTTACTGATTTTTTTATTTTAACAGACATAACCACCGTTACTGCCTTTGATTTTGAAAACAGCACAATCGTTTCAATCTGTATGTATGCGTGGATGGTTTTATACTATCAGTGTTCTATTAAATACGCCACGGCCCTCCTTATCCAACTAAAAAGGGGCATAAAAGAGATATATTTATCGTTAAAGTACTGAGTGGCAATGTAAATGACCTTGCGACTGACATTATCACTGAGTGTTGATGCGTTGTTGGCGTGATGAGGCAAGATATGAATAATTCAACTGTGTAACGGTCGAATTGGCAGGCTGCCGCAGGCGGGCAGAGGCGACAAGCGCAGCAGAATAAGGTAAAAATGATTACAGTTTTGTTAAATGTTTTTGTTCATTTGACACTTTCATAGAGTATAATATTGTCAAAGACATCCATCTCATTTTGTTATAAAGGCGCCTAAACTAGGTCAACTATATACGTTGAGCAACACGTGTAACAGAAACTCGTAGTCACCCATGCGAAACGAACTACGTTATAACCATATTCTATTTGCTCGGACTAGTACAAGTAATTTCAGTTAGAGAAATGTACATTTGCTAAATAAGCAACACGTTATACTGTATGTAATACCTACAGCCTTTCATAGGTTAGGAAAACCGTTATTTATTGTTAAAGATGATTATGAAAGAGGAAATATCAGTTCATAACATACCATCATTGGAATGTTCAATTATACTATGTCAATGTTTTCAATGCATCAGAATGAAAAATGATCACATGACTTCCAATTGGATGAGTCACGCGGCTATTGTATATAAACGTTTTGCTAAACTGTTGTAACATATTGATGGCTATGTGGAAAAGGTGCATGTTGGAAAGCAATGTTAAACATGTCCCACAATCAATTTATTTAATTATGAAGTAAAACTGAGTAGGAGGTGATTCCAGTTATGGTTCACAACCTTACTCCACTTTCCTTTTTGCTAAACCATTCGTATATCTGCTGTTGTTCTTTTGAAACCCTGGATTGCAATGACAATATCCATAAATGGAGTGAATGTGTGTATTTCAAACAGGAGATGTGTTTGATCCTTAACATGAGCATATTTGAAATATGAAACAAATAGAATGATAAAATTCGCGACAATGTAATAACAGAACACACTTTGCCAGTTGGAATTGCTGAAAGTATGAAAGAACCTATATTATGACTATATTATGAAAATCATATCTTTTAAAGTTCCAAATGAATAGTAGTAAAACCTTAATTTCCCTCAATTAAAATATAAGACATCGAGTCATTGATAATGCTGTGTTTCGTGCAATTATACACTGATAAACAGGAAAAGTATCACGTGTCATGTTCAGATTGTCAACACACACCGTTATTACGAATCCATAAACGATGGCTATTTTGATCTTTTCCTTGGCTTAATTAGATGTTTGTTGTTTTAGATCCCAGACAACAAGGATGAAGTTTCATTTCTACATCGCCTTGTGTAATTTTGTCTTTACAAACACCCAAATGACAAGCAATGACTCATCTGACGACGTGTTTGGGTTCTACCTCAACGACCTATTGACCTCTGTGAAAGATGTGTCCTTGAACGGAGTTCTTAATACGACTACAGGCATGCCCATACTCCACTGCAACGTATTCTGCAACGGTACAACAGTCACAAATGTCGTTGACCGTGGGTGCTCGTCAGCCAACCCAATCTGCAAAACATGTCACTGTGATGCTGACTGTAAAGAATATGGCGACTGTTGTCCAGACGAAAGGTTGAATGTGACGATGGAAAGGGAAAACAGGCATGTTTGTGTCAGTGGAACAAATAAAACATATTTCTTCACTGGTCCCCATACTGGATACTACATAATAACCACATGTCCGGAAGAGTTCAATCTCGAAATGCCGTCTGCTTCTCAAATATCAGCAGACGACCTCACTCCAGTGACATCGATCACAACAAATATCACCTACTTGAATGAAGTGATCGCCGAATGTCATGACGATAACAGTATCATCAGATGGGTAAAGGAAAATGTATGTCATAAGAAGAGAAACTCATCTCATTCAAACGGCAATGAAAGCTCAACAGATTGCATGGCTTCTATTCATCCTCCATCTGATATATTACCTAGACCGTGTGACACTGATTTCGCTGATCAACAGTACGTAGACTCGTGCAACAAGACAGGGTTATGGGATGGTTCTTTCTCTGACAAAGCCGAGGAACAATGTAGGCTTGGATTCTATTACCCAGTGGCTGGGGGAACGTACTTGTTCAAGAATATCTTCTGTTACATGTGCAATGGACTGTTACCATCTGTTTTTAAGTGCCTAAGAACATTACAGCGGGTGCAAAGTACAGGCTATTCTATAAGCACACTTGTTTGTACAAACTGTGATCGGCGAAAGTGTAAGGAAAATGAGTGGCATGACTGGATCAAGGTGAGTGGGTTGACCATATCCGTGTGCGTGTATGTGTGTGCGTGCGTGTGTGTGTGTGTCTGCGTGTTAGTGCGTGCGTGCGTGCGTGCGTGCGTGTGTGTGTGTGTGTGTGTGTGTGTGATATTATAGAAGGACACTTTTAATTAGAAAGAGGCCAAAAGCTTTAAAGGTTTTTAACGGACAGAGTTTTAAACAGAGTTTGTTATGTTCGCTCTGTGTTGATGTCCAGTTTGCTCTGAAACATCAGGGGGGCACGGGTGGGCCAGTCGTCTAAGGCGCCGAGATTCGCTGTGCAGAGTTGCGTCCCTTGGGCAAGCCAGAAACCTATGATTGTGGGTTCGAATCCCGGTTCGCCCCGATTATGTTTCTAGGTTTGTCAGCACCATACCCGTGCTCGTGGGTTTCACCGAAGTGGTCAACGTCTGAGACCTGCATCACTTCCGGCTTTCCTCCCACATTAAGCTGACACGCTGTGATATAACTGGAATACTGTTAAAAGCAGCGTTAAACCCAACTCACTCACTCACTCACTCACTCTGAAACATCATGGTATGGTAGAACTTCATAGTGGTAGTTACAGTTATGTATATATGTTTGAGTTCGTATATCCTTTCTGTTTGACAAGGAATACACCTGATCGATGATGATGATATTTATCTTTTAGAATTTAATTTATCTTGGTCAATTGTTTTTCCCCCATAAAATCCGAGGACCCCCATTCCCACCCCCAACCCAATATCAAATTGTCGGTCCTTTAATGTTGATTCTGCCTTCTCCTGGGCATCTATTTATAGTCACTAACAATTAATTTGTTATTTGTCGGGATAAAGTTCCACATACAAATGTACAGCTAAATTTAAGTTAAATCATATGAATTGTAAAAATAATTTCAAAATTTGAAGTAAAATGGTTGACGATGATCCTTTTCCCTTCCTAACATACGCTAGTTGTGGACTTCTGGCAGGATTTACAACATTAGCACAAGTTATATGAGCGAGACGCGCTTATGTTTCAAACATCAAGGGGTAGTGGTATGCCTAATCAAGCTTTGGACAATTCCGTGAACCATGATTAATTTTTAACAAGTGTTTGTACTGTTCTTCTCTGCTTTACAAATTAGCTTTAGTCAAAGACTTGCACATGTTCAAGTATTAAAAAGTATTAAATCAGTATTGCTGACACATTTTAACTTAACGTATACATTTAGTGTTGATAAACATGTGAAGGTTGAAGTCTACTGCTCATTCATTCCGATTTTATAAACCTTCTAATTCTGTTGGCCCCCATCAACCTCGGTTCTTTGTTGAAATTATGCATCACGACCATTCTGCTATGTGGTTGTCCAAAGGCGACCTGTTAAATGCTATTCAACATAGTTGTTTGTGAATCGTGACCATCGCATTGATAATGTTCTATTTACGCAAAGTACTTTGTATTGACAGCGGCATTATTTCTTTATAGAATTTCTTCACTAGTATATGCGAGTAATGGCATTTGTCTGGTAGAATGAAAATGTTACAGAAGCCATTCCTTTGATAATCGGCAACAATTGAATTCATTTGTAATCGGGTTCGAGTCACCAGCAAAGTTTGAATAAGAATAATGGTATTATTCACTTTAGGGACTGAAATTGTGTGGTATAGGTTAATATACGCTATTTACAAATATGTTTCAGACTTTTCCAACCTTATGTCGATAAAGATTAAATGATGAAGAAATCACTTCTTCTCTAAAGTTCTTGACGTTGTGTTTTATCTTGACTTTTTCAGAACGAGTGCCGTGCCATGTACTGTCGCTCGGGGTACCGTCTAAAGGGTGAAACATGTCAATTAACAGTTGTCGGACTCTCCAGAGTTGAGTACACGATTGCGGTCCTCTTTCGGCCAACTGAAAATAACACATCGGATCCCAGACTTCAGGACTGGAATTTCATAGAACAATTGGTTGTCCATAACATACCATTAGTTGCAGAGGAGTACAATATGACCTATTATATGTTTTCTGTTTATAAACTTGTGTACATTGGCACTGCAAATAGTTCGAGACTTCTCAATGAGCCATCCTTTGGATTGACATTGATGTTCCGAACAAACCAAACCTGTTGTCGGGATACATTTGAAGAAACTATGATGGTGTTGTTGGGGAATATTTGGTCGATGGGGTTTAAAGGTTCGGAATTTCAGTTTACACTGTCTGAGGATAATTTTTATACTTATGGCGTATCAAAGAGGCAGTTATACAAGATGCATCCCCCGTACACCAATCCACAGAAAATTGAGACATATGACAGCCTCCCTTCGGAGTATGTTGAAACGCCTGAAGATTATGTTTATTTGCCCACGGTTTTGCCAAAATGTTCATATGTGTATCTCTCCGTGAATGAATTCAGTTGGAACACTGATGCATCTATTTCTCTTCAGTATGTGGATATAACAATACAGTTTGATAAATTCATTGAAATAGACGAAAAAAATATAATAATATGCGTGGACACGATGAAAGAGTTGTATTCAAACTACCAAGATCCAGTCAAACTGGCTGAACATATTTTAACTCTAGTCTTCTCCATTTTGTCTATGATCTGTTTGGCCTTGACCTTCATCACCTACTGCACATTCCCTTCCCTTCTCACCCTGCCCACGAAGAATACGATGTGTCTGGTCGGGTTTCTATTCTTGGCTCAGTTGCTGCTTCTGTTAAAGGATGTTGCCATCCGGAATGAAACTGCTTGCAAAACAATTGGAGTTTTCATACATTACTTGTGGCTTACAGTTATATTGTGGATGAACGTCTGTTCCTATCACATGTTCCACGTCTTCGTAGTCGATTCTGCAAAACCGATCGGTACCCAAAGTCATCGTAGTCGTCTTCTGAAATACTCCCTCTATGCCAATGGATTGTCTCTGATCATTGTTCTCATTACCATATTTTCAAATCTCGGCGTTTCTTCAGGAAGCCATATCGGCTATGGTGTAACCACGTGCTACCTGAATACGTCACTTCTTGTCGGTGTTGCTTTCGTGGCTCCTCTAGGTGTCGTTCTCCTCTTGAACATCATTTTCTTCAGCGTCAGTGTGTGGACGATGGCCAAGATCAATAAAATGAGCGCAAGTATTGGGGCTGAGAAGAGTCAGGTGCACATCTACATTAAATTATCCACACTGACAGGGATCTTTTGGATCCTGGCAGTCCTCGGTGATGTTCTCCAGCAGCAAGTCCTCATCTTCATCTCCATCGTCCTGAACGCCGGTCAAGGGATCTTCATCTTCATCTCCTATGTTGCGAATAAAAGAGTTCTTCAACTGTGGAGAGGCAAAATGAACAAATACATACCTACTGCCAACAGTCAATCTCCTAATCAAACGATGAACACCCAGTTGTGAATAACGAGGCGGAAAGTCCTTTATTGCCACACACGTTATTGTATACGGGTATATTACGTGTATTTCAAAATATCTGGGAAAAGTGAAACCTGGAGATATATCTGATTAAATATTAAAATAAGGGGTCGAAGAAACATGGTGGTACAATACGAAATTTGCTATCCACATGAAGAACAACTTGTTTAATCATCGCACAGAATTGAGTTCATAATATCCGAGGTTTGTTATACACTAGATGTTGTTTTATTTTCCAGAAATAAACTCACTCTGCAACAGTATTGTGTGTCACGTTTAGGTTATCTGTACATAGCTATTCATATCATCATTGAATAACACATGGTTACCGAATATATTAGTGTATTTGCTGTCATTGATATCAGTTCTTGTTCCCTTATTATGTTAAGGATATCACTAAGATAAGATCTTGTGCTTAGAAGCGACTTTACCTCTGTGTATTTGCGACATGTTATGACTTAGCTAATGAAATATGTGCCCAGGCTAATAGGCTAGGAGAGCATCACTGTGAATCACTTTACCATAATACATTGTATTTATTATTAAGATATTAACATTTGAGATTGTGATGTTCTTGTGAATGAGAGAAACTTTATCACCAAGATAATGGTCAAGTAATCATGTTGAAGCCTCAGTTATTACGCATCTAAAATATGAAACGGTATGGCTTTAACATGATATCTCCACGTAAAATATATCAGGAGGTAGTCGCACTTAACGTTTGAATTTGTCATTTTCCAGACAATAAAATATGTGACATTCAACATTGGAGCTTTCTTTCATCACCCGAGATCACACACACATACTTGAATTAAGATACAGATAATATGATATTTGACTTTATAGCATATCAGTGAAATCACACTTTAACTGTCTAAACAACAGTTACAGTTTTTCAATATAAAAAAACCCAGCACGATTGTTTCAATCTGTATGTATGTATGGATGTTCTATACCATATTTGGGGGCGGTGGGGTAGCCTAGTGATGAAAGCGTTCGGTCGTCACGCCGAAGACCTGGGTTCGATTCCCGACATGGGTACAATGTGTGAAGCCCATTTCTTGTGTCCCCCGCCGTAATATTGCTGAAACATTGCTAAAAGCGGCGTGAAATCACACTCACTCACTCACTCACTCACTCACTCACTCACTCACTCACTCACTCACTCACTCACTCACATTTGGTTTCATTAGTGTTAAAACCTCATAGCTGCCTAAGGGGGCACGGGTCTAAGGCGCCGCGATTCGCTGTGCAGAGTTGCGTCACTTGGACACGCCAGAAACCTATGATTGTGGGTTCGAATCCCGGTTCGCCCAAATTATGTTTCTAGGTTTGTCAGCACCATACCCGTGCTCGTGGGTTTCAACGAAGTGGTAAACGTCTGAGACCTGCATCACTTCGGCCTTTCCTCCCACATGAAGCTGACACGCCGTGATATAACTGGAATACTGTTAAAAGCGGCGTTAAACCCAACTCACTCATATAGCTGCCTAACCTTTTTGGAAATTGAAAGGGCATCACAGAGAGATATTAAGCATTCAAGTACTAAGTGGTAATGTAAATGATTGTGCGACTGACATTATCACTGAATGCTGATACGTTGTTGGCGTGATAGTGTTCAGATATGAATAATTCAACTACCTAACGTTCGAACTGGCAAGCTGCAAGTCGGGCAGAGCGCAGTAGAATAAGGTAAGAAAGCTAAGAGTTTTGTATATAGAAGTTTTGGTTCATTTGAATTAACTTTCATAGAGTATAACATTGTCAAAGACACCCCTCTTGTTGTATTTTATGTTATAATGATCAGCTTTGGGCGTCTACACGCGTTGAGCAATGACGACTAAAACACATGGCTGTTATTCCGATCGGTCGAATATATAGTTAAGAATGATAAAAGTTTGGTCTATCGATCAGAAGTGTATAGTCAATCATTTTCAGCGGATCAGCATCTGGATAATAAAAGTCTTAAAACAGAGCATTCCAATATTTTCAAGTAGGGGTTTAAGACAAAAAACGATAGTGTTTCGATGGCAGCACTGTTTTAAGTAATTAAGCTATTATATATACGTGCTTTGCTAAACTGTTGTAACATATTGATGACTATGTGGAAAAGTTGCATGTTGGAAGGTAATTTTAAAACATGTCCCACAATCAATTTATTTAATTATGAAGTAAAACTGAGAAGGGGCTGATTCCAGTTATGGTTCACAACCTTCTCCACATTGCGTTTCTTAAATAATTGATAAATCTCTTGTTCTTTGGAACCCTGGATGGTGAGTGAATGTGTGCATTTCATACAGGACATGCTTTTGATCCCGAACATAAGCATAATGAAATGTAAACTAAATAGAATTATAAAATTCGCTGCTCTGTAATACCATAACACACTTTGACACTTGCAATTGCAAAAAGTATTTTGAGAAATCAAACTCTCTACATTATGACTATTTTATGACAATCTGACCTTTCTAAGGTTAAATATAACGTAACAATCCTTTAGCTCAAATACATGCCATCGGATCATTGATAAAACAGTGTTTCGTTTGATTACATAATGGTCTACTGGAAAAGTGTCATGTGTCATGTCTTCTATCCAGAGTGGTACCAAACATCGTTATTAGGAACGTATAAATGATGGCTATTTTGATCTTGTCCTTGTCTGAATTGGTTGTTTTTTTAGATTCCATATTCATGAACAGGAAAAGTGTCACGTGTGACGTTCAGATTGGCGACACACACCGTTATTAAGAATCCATAAACGATGGCCATTTTAATCTTTTCCTTGGCTTAATTGGATGTTTGTTGTTTTAGATTCCAGACAACAAGGATGAAGTTTCATTTCTACATCACCTTGTGTAGTTTTGTCTTTACAAACACCCAAATGACAAGCTATGACTCATCTGACGACGTGTTTGGTTCCTACCTCAACGACCTATTGACCTCTGTGAAAGATGAGTCTTTGAACGGAGTTCTTAATACGACTACAGGCATGTCCATTCTCCACTGCAACGTATTCTGCAACGGTACAACAGTCACAAATGTCGTTGACCGCGCGTGCTTTTCCTTCCCAATCTGCAAAACATGTCGCTGTGATGCTGACTGTAAAGAATATGGCGACTGTTGTCCAGACGAAAGGTTGAATGTGACGATGGAAAGGGAAAACAGGCATGTTTGTGTCAGTGGAACAAATAAAACATATTTCTTCACTGGTCCCCATACTGGATACTACATAATAACCACATGTCCGGAAGAGTTCAATCTCCAAATGCCGTCTGTTTCTCAAATATCAGCAGATGACCTCACTCCAGTGACATCGATCACAACAAATATCACCTACTTGAATGAAGTGATCGCCGAATGTCATGACGATAACATTACCATCAGATGGGTAAAGGAAAATGTATGTCATAAGAAGAGAAACTCATCTCATTCAAACGGCAATGAAAGCTCAACAGATTGTTTAGCATCTATTCATCCTCCATCTGATATTCTACCTAGACCGTGTGACACTGATTTCGCTGATCAACAGTACGTAGACTCGTGCAACAAGACAGGGTTATGGGATGGTTCTTTCTCTGACATAACCGAGGAACAATGTAGGCTTGGATTCTATTACCCAGTGGCTGGGGGAACGTACTTGTTCAAGAATATCTTCTGTTATATGTGCAATGGACTGTCAACACCTATTGTAAACTGCGGAAGATCATACCTCAATTTTATTTCTATCAGCACACTTGTTTGTACAAACTGTGAACGGCGAAAGTGTAAGGCAAAAGAATGGCATGACTGGATCAAGGTAAGATATATAATTATCACGTACAAGCAACGTAGAGGCAATATCAAGGTTTTGAAATGATCACCATATCTAGGTGCTGATATGACTGGGTCACGATGAGTAATACAACTAACAACAAAGGTAGTGGTATCACCATATCTAGGTGCTGATATGACTGGGTCACGATGAGTAATACAACTTACAACAAAGGTAGTGGTATCACCATATCTAGGTGCTGATATGACTGGGTCACGATGAGAAATGCAACTTACAACAAAGGTAGTGGTATGACCATATCTAGGTGCTGATATGACTGGGTCACGATGAGTAATACAACTTACAACAAAGGTAGTATCACATTATCTTGGCGCTGCTGTGACTGGGTCTCGATGAGTGGTGTGGCCATATCTAGGTGCTGGTATGATTTGATTATGATTGGTAGTACGACCATATCCAGGAGCTGGTATGACCTTCCAGTAGTTTGTATATCTTCCAGCTATGTTTATGGTATCAATAATGGTGGTTACAAGATCACGATGAGTGCTGTGGTGGCTGGGCAACAGTGGAAATTTCAAAATTTAAAGTAAAATGGTGGATGATTACCCTTTTTCCTTTCAATCATATACAAGTTGTGGACTTCTTGCATGGTCTAAAACATAAGTACGAGCAATATGAGCGAAAAGGGCTAGTGCTTCAAACTTTCAAGAGATCGTAGTATGCCTAATCTACCTATGGACAAGTCCGTGCACTAAGACTACTTTTTAACATGTGTTTGTACTGTCCTGATGTACAATGACAATTAGCTTGAGTCAAAGATTTGCGCATTAAAACGGTCTCTCAAATCATCAGCATTTTTTACATATTTTAACTTAACGTATACATACATACTGTGTTGATAAACAAAGCGGTCATTAATAAACTTTTCTTATTCTGTGAGCCACACGTGCTCCTATCATCGTTGGTTCTTTGCTGAAATTATGCATCACTGCTAACATTCTGCTATGTAACTCTCCAAAGGCTACTGGTTTAATATTATTCAAAATATATATTTCGGCTTGAGGCCATAGAATTGATATTATTCCAATTATTCAAAGGACTTTGTGTGGACAGAAGCATTACTCTCTTAAATATGCGAGTTATGACCCTCGGCTGGTAGTTACATGATAATGTTACAGAAGTCACTGAAGGTAGGAAACAATGATATTCCTTTGTAATCGAGTTCGTTTTATTATTTTTACTCTTGATTATCAATCATTGTCAGTGGCAAAGTTGGAATTAGAATAATATTATATTATTCACCTTAAGGACTAAAATTCTGTGGTGGTGTTTCACATACGCAATTTACAGTGTTTTGTTTTTCACACTAACCTATGTCTAATATTTGAAGCCAATGGATTAAATGTTGAAGAAATCGATAATATTCTAAACATTGTGTTTTGTCTTGACTTTTCCAGAACGAGTGCCGTGCCATGTTCTGTCGCTCGGGGTACGATCTCAAGGGTGAAAAATGTCAATTAACAGCTGCCGGATTGTCCAGAGTTGAGTACCAGTTGGCACTCCAGTTTTGGCCAACTGAAAAAACCACATATGACCCAAGACTGCAGGACTGGAAATTCATAGAGTCATTGGTTGTCTATAACATACCATCAGTTGCAGAGGAGTACAATATGACCTATTATATGTTTTCTGTTGAAAAGCCTGTGTACACTGACATTGCCAATAGTTCCAGATTTGTCCATGTGCCATCCTTTGGACTGACATTGACGTTCAGGACAAACCAAACCTGTTGTCGGGATACATATGAAGAAACTATACTGGCGTTATTGGAGGATAATTGGTCGATGGAGTATAATGGTTCGGAGTTTCAGTTCACGCCGTCTAAGGATGATCTTTATACTTTTTCAAAGAGACAGTTATACACGATGCATCCCCCGTACACCAATCCACAGAAAGCCGAGATGTTCGACAGCCTTACGTCGGAGTATGTTGAAACGCCCGAAGATTATGTTTACTATCCTTCTGTTTTGCCACATTGTTCGTATGTGTACCTCTCCGTGAATGAATTTAACTGGAACACTGATGCGACTATCACTCTTCAGTATGTGGGTATAACAATTCAGTTCGATAAATTCATTAAAATGGACGAAGAAAATATAATTTTATGCGTGGACACAATGAAAGAGTTGTATTCAAACTACCAAGATCCAGTCAAACTGGCTGAACATATTTTAACTCTAGTCTTCTCCATTTTATCTATGATCTGTTTGGCCTTGACCTTCATCACCTACTGCACATTCCCTTCCCTTCTCACCCTGCCCACGAAGAATACGATGTGTCTGGTCGGGTTTCTCTTCTTGGCTCAGTTGCTGCTTCTGTTTAAGCAACTGGCCATCCGGGATGAAACTGCTTGCAAAATAATTGGAATTCTCATACATTACTTGTGGCTCACAGTTATATTGTGGATGAACGTCTGTTCCTATCACATGTTCCATGTCTTCGTCGTCGATGCTGGAAAACCGATGGGTACCCAAAGTCGTCTTCTGAAATACTCCCTCTATGCCAATGGATTGTCTCTGATCATTGTTCTCATTACCATATTTTCAAATCTCGGCGTTTCTTCAGGAAGCCATATCGGCTATGGTGTAACCACGTGCTACCTGAATTCGTCACTTCTTGTCGGTGTTGCTTTCGTGGCTCCTCTAGGTATCGTTCTCCTCTTGAACATCATATTCTTCAGCGTCAGTGTGTGGACGATGGCCAAGATCAACAAAATGAGCGCAAGTATTGGGGCTGAGAAGAGTCAGGTGCACATCTACATTAAATTATCCACACTGACAGGGATCTTTTGGATCCTGGCAATCCTCGGTGATGTTCTCCAGCAGCAAGTCCTCATCTTCATCTCCATCGTCCTGAACGCCGGTCAAGGGATTTTCATCTTCATCTCCTATGTTGCCAACAAAAGGGTTCTTCAACTGTGGAGAGGAAAAATTAACAAATACAAACCTACTGCTAACAGTCAATCGTCTGATCAGACGATGACTACTCAGTTGTGAATAACGAGGGGAGATTCTCTGAGACCCGAGATGTATGTATCGGCACTAATTAGAGTTTGTGTAGTTTACTGAAGTGAAGAAGAGGTGAGGTCAGGTGAGGTAAGGTGAGTTTAGGTGAGGTCATATGAAATGTGGTTTAACGTCGCGCCCAAGATTAATGCACTTATATAGCGACGTGCATGCACGTGTGTGTGTGTGTGTGTGTGGGTGGGTGGGGTGGGGGGGGGGGGGGGGGGGGGGGGTGTTGGGGGTGGGTCAGCTTGTTTTAGTCCGGACTGATGCCGATTTATAGTGCTTCTTTTAATAGAAATTGGTATAGTCTACTTATGTAGACTTATGTGTCCCCTGCCTTGTCGTTTGAGGTGTCCTCTGCCTTGTCGTTTGAGGTGTCCTCTGCCTTGTTGTTTGAGATGTCATCTGCCTTGTCGTTTGAGGTGATCTCTGCCTTGTCGTTTGAGGTGTCCTCTGCCTTGTCGTTTGAGGTGTCCTCTGCCTTGCCGTTTGAGGTGTTCTCTGCCTTGTCGTTTGAGGTGTCCTCTACTTTGTCGTTTGTAGTGTCCTCTGTCTTGTCGTTTGAGGTGTCCTCTGCCTTGTCATTTCAGGTGTCCTCTGTCTTGTCTTTTGAGGTGTCCCTGCCTTGTGGTTTGAGAATGTCTGACGTTAAAAAGAGGCGTTAAATCAATAATCAAAGTGTGTAAGAAGTCACGGAGACAAGAAAAGAAACTATCCAAACTATTGACTGTCACCCTGTTGGTAACCAGGGACGCTTCAATAGGGCCGTGGTGGGTCGCTAGGTGAGAGTGTCCCACAGATTTCCCCCTGTTATTATAAGGGTTTGATTGATTGTCGCGTTAACGCTCCCCGCACAAGGAACATAAATACGGGTGACGGTGAAGGGCGGATCGTTGTCAGTGTCAGGCAAAAGGTGACATTTTAGGATTCATGCTTCGTGTTGGGACGTTTGTAAAGCGGGTAAGTTGATATATTGCATGTATGTATAGACGAAATGTAAATGGATAAAATGTTCTCGTGTTTGCATTTTATATCAGTATATTAGGAAATCCTCATGATTAAACTAATGGAATATATTTTAAATGAGGTTAACATATCCTGTATTAATATCCCATTTTACCTTACAACTGTTTCTCCAGCAAGAGTATGGTCTTGCAAAATGAATTGTTTGAACATATATTCCTGTGTACCATTTGATTTTATGTATGCATGAATGTATTTTGTAACATTTCAGGATTTGCTTTGACATAGTTGTACATCTGATAGTGATGTTTGTGAATATTGTATATGTATGTGATAATGAAAACGTTGATTAGATAAGACTTTTTTTAATACTGAATAGTATAATCACCTCTCTCCGATGAAGAGAAGGATTTACTCGTAAATGTCATATATCACAGCTCGTGTTCCATATACTCGTAAATATATATTGTTATACGTTGTCTGCCTCTCATGTGATAAAGGTAATTATTTTACAAGTTCTTATTTACTTCATTTCCTATCTATGTTGTTCTCTTGATAATCCGTTGTTGACTCAGAAAAAATGGTATAAAGTCCACGTGATTATTTCGTGGACGATTTCTTGTAACTGGTGGTTAATTGCCAACAATGGATGACCACTAAGGAAAACCATATATATCAGTGTTCCAGCTGGGCGTGTGTCCTTATATCGCGTAGATGTACATGACAGACAGACATTCTTTATTTCCTCCAATAATTGAAGAGTACATATGACAGTAAGTTAGGTCAAATCATGGATGACCTGTAGTGAACAAAACGCAGATAACAAAATCGACCACAGGGTTGTCTTTACAGGAATGTCTATTATAGCATACATGCATCGTGGCAGAACAGATACTCCCTATTGTGGACCAGAGTATAAAACCGTAGTCACTCACTCACTTTAAGAGGGCTTTCTGATATTTGCGCATGTGCATTTAGCGCATCTGAATGCTGTTGACGACCTCACAAATTGATGACATCACGATTATACGAAAAATAGCGAGGGCGGATAAGTCTTAATTCCTCGCGCCTCGTTGGTATTTCTCTACTTACTTACTTACACACTTATTCACCCTGCGTAGAGGGAACATCGTCCACACCAGTTATAGAGGTGAAGCTAAACCCCAATGATGTCCCTTTCGCACACATACACACACTCGCACTCATCCGACCAACCAATCACTCTCACTCACTCACTCCACTCACGCGACAGACTGACCACGCAACGAACCAAAAAAACGCACAACCAACCTCATGATGTTCCTGTCCCGGGAAACCCAAACACGTCAGTCAACATGGGACTCAGGAGGGCTTAGCTTGCAGACAGGGAAGAAATGTCTAATTGAATCCGTCGGTGGTATGAAATACGAGGGGATTCAGTAATGTAATGTCCATGTACTTATCCAAACACTGTTTGTGTGGACATCCAGGCGCAATTATCACCTGTTACTCGGAATGATCTACACATTTGAGAAATTTAAGAAACCCAACATTTTCAGTGACACATGGATATTTGGGACAGCAGTCCGTGCATATGTGTCAATGTGTGCATGCGTGTATATGTCTGTCGAGCCCGTACATGGCCCAGGCTATACATTTATTCAGGTGTTAACCAATTACATTCCACAGACCAAGCTCCTACAGCTCGACACAAAACGTCCTCATTTCTACAGCAGTTCAAACGACAGATAATCCACAAAATTGAGCTATTAGTTTCTTGAAACTTTGCTGACAGCAAATACACGTATACAACCGGAATCATGAGTTATTCAATGATGGTATGAATAGCTAGGTACAGATAACCTCAATGCCACACACAATACTGTTGTAGAGTGAGCGACGCCTCTCTCTCTCTCTCTCTCTCTCTCTCACTCTCTCTCTCTCTCTCTCTCTCTCTCTCAGTAACGTCTGAGAATACGATATATGTAACAGGAATCGCTAACTGATTTGACAATCTTTATTACTTTATTACTGTCAGCGACCTTACATATCTGATTGAATATTATAATGAGAACTTGTTGAAAGAATCAACATTACCAGAAACAGATGTTCTCTGTAATAAGTTAAGCTCTGTTAGTTAGGTTTTTCTAATGTAAAAAATAAGGATATGAGCCTTGTCTTAGCAATCGCCCCATAAAACTGCAACTTGAGAAGCAGACATACGTCGATTTCACTCAGGGACCAGATCGCGTGTGTACGTGCTAAGCAAACCTGTAGCTATCTCGCCAGAGAATAGTCAACCGTGGGTCTCTAGATTGTTTAAGTAAACCTAGCTTATCGCTCGACAGATCGAAGAAGTGAGTTTCACAAAGATTTTCGATACACCTACAGAGGATCAATGTACTAATTACTGGACAAGGCTGTTTGACAGCTATTGCTCTATGTAGAGCTTCTAAATTAGACTTGAAGGCGAAACCATGTGGTTTGAAATTTTACACTAGCATTTGGTTTCATTTTGTAAGATAACTTTAGTTATGATAAGTACTGAATGAGCACAGTAAACTGTATTACACAACACTTGAAGTCCGTGTGTGAGAGAACTGGCGTTTACAGAACAAGAATGGTGTATAACAATATACCGGGTATACACAATATCACAACGTACAGTAAACAAGTTATTTCAAGGTCCAGGTGACTCAAAGAAACATAATAAAAGCGCAAGGGGTGTGTTGGGACTGAAGTGAAATTAACAAGTAATTGAGTGAAATAAACGGGTTGAATATAAACAATAGCTTTCACTAAGCTCGTGGGTTGGAGATAAACAAAGGTTTTAGGTAAATGGAATGTGATAAACAATAGTTAGAAATGAGTGAGTGAGTGAGTTGGGTTTAACGCCGCTTTTAACAGTATTCCAGTTATATCGCGGCGTGTCAGCTTAATGTGGGAGGAAAGCCCGAAGTGATGCAGGTCTCAGACGTTTACCACTTCGGTGAAACCCACGAGCACGGGTATGGTGCTGACAAACCTAGCAACATAATCGGGGCGAACCGGGATTCGAACCCACAATCATAGGTTCCTGGCGTGCCCAGGTGACGCAACTCTGCACAGCGAATCACGGCGCCTTAGACGACTGGGCCACCCGTGCCCCCCTAGTTTGAAATGAAAAGGCATAAGATAAACAGGTTTGAGATACAGAATCTGTCTTTACAACAACTAATAGCTCTGTGAATGTAACTGCTATAGACAATGCTGTATTCCATTACAATATTTTAGGGGGATACTCATCCATATAGACATAAGACGTCAACACCAGAGAAGAACCAGTCTCGATTATCCAACGAAGCAGATTCCATTGAGCATAAAAGGGAGTTCGCAAAAAGGGTCAGCATGTCCTGCCCATACCACCATTGTTCTATTCAAGTATACTATGTTACTGTTTCATGCCATGACACTGACAAAACGCTATGAGGCGATCTTCAATCTGTTTTGTTGAACACCACGTTCAATGTTACACATAGGCGGTCGGGAGGTGTAACGTTAAGACTGATAGCAGTTGGCACAATATTATCAGGTCTTGTTCCACTGGCGTTAGTGGATGTAATATACGTTACACTAGCATAAATTAATTTGACTTGTCAAAAATCAATTAATAATGATATAAATGACACAACCCTACCACAATATTAGATGGCATTAAAAATTTCACATGTAAGTATTTTCATCGGGCGAGTCCAGTGAGAATACATTTCACAACGCAATAAACATATAAAAAATATTAACTTGCCATGTCAACTTTGAATAAAAATGCGACACCATATTAAACTCTCCTTCAGTAATATATATATTGGTAAATTTTCCCTCACGTCATTGTGACATTAGCTCAGCATACAATAGATACACACTGATGTATTCCGCTTGCGTTGTGCTTACAGGCAAAGGAATTCACCGCATGTAGTTTACTCACTGCACGAAATGTCCAACATGATGTATGGTAGGGTAGATAGTGAATAGGCATAGCCTATCAAATGAAGGATCTAGTGGAACGGAACCAAGTGCTATGACAGTAGGTATTGTATATTTCTTTCTTATACTCCAGCTGTTGACATGAGTATTGTTTTCTGCCCCGTATCGAGTAAATACACACGCGAGATTTTAAATGCATGCTCAGATAATACCCCACAGAAGGTCAACTGGTCAGCGGATTCAATGCGGGTGTCGGATTTAGTGAGATAGATCTGTTTCAAAGTTTGTTATGGTTGACAAATTACTGCACGCTGCGATAGGAACATTGTTTTGTAGAACGAACAAATCATTGGGAACCACTTTGAAATGCATTTCTCTGCCTAACTGTAAGGTATAGACTAGACGTGTGTGTTGGGAGGACAGGGCGGATCGCCAGGTAGGTAATAGGATCATTTAAAACGTAAGAACACCAGATGTATATAGAGAATCTCACCCGAGTGTCTTTTGATATCAACACGAGATTTTTCCCACTTTTATCAACGAGTGTTGATATATTTGATATCAATAGACACGAGGATGAGATTATATTTATCATCCAACATCATTCTTTTTCAGTTTGTAGACAGTAATAAGCAGTGTCTAAAGTGTAAAATGTACTGCTAACATCTTTAGTAGTAGAGCCATTAGTGATGTCATTTGATTGTGACGTCATGGTAACAATGACGTCTCAATGGTCTGCAAAGCATTGTGATGCAATTTCATTGCAGCGATATCTACAGTGTAGATATCGCTTGATCTCACCGAAGCGATATCTCCTGTGGGAGCGATGTTTTGGATAATAAACTACTTTTACATATGCTGTACACCCTTGCCTGAAGTTAAGGCATATTGAACCTGAAACATAAATGGATTTAAAAACAGGAAAGGACAGAATAGCACTGTAAGAGACCAAATAGTGGTAAAATACGAGTGTATTCTTACTATGAATGACTGAAAAATGTTGTTATGCACTATATCAAGGAAACGCATAATATCACAGTACGAATGTATTTTAACTAATAATGAATTACAAAAGGATGCTACTATGCATTGTATCAAAAAACACATTATGGTAAAACACGAATGTATTTTAACAATGAGGACAGCATCAACAAATGTTACATTTGTGCAATTTTATGAGTCAATATTTGTTTCGCGTTTGTATTGTGTTTGAAATTACTACAGATATGCTTCAGTTATATGACCATAGAAGTGAAATCGTGCAAGGCCCGTTGGTAACAGATGTCCTTGTGAAACAGACCCGATACGATCACATTAATAACGACTGGGCACCAGTTGAAGGCAAATCGAATATCTATGGACAGTTCAAGGTCACTGGCATGATCCAACGACCCATGTTATCTGATGGTGACCTGCCTGTGTTTGATCAAAAGCCCACACTCTGTTCGCTGTATCAGCAATACATACTAGCCCTTTCATTGACACTGCAACTAAGCTATTTATCTTGCTTCGTATTCAAACTAATCGTGATTTAAGAAGCGGTAGTACACTCCTTCCTGAAAACAGGGTTTACACTACAAAGGGTTTTCTCCCTTGGTTGGTGAATAACGAGTCAACGATTAGGCCATTTTAAACTCAAACTAGGTACTTATATTTAGAGGTAACTGTGTGACACTCTCCAAAGCATACTAAGACTCCCATATCAACCCGAGACTCCCATATCAACCCGAGACTCCCATCTCAACCCGAGACTGTCATATCAACCCGAGACTCCCATATCAACCCGAGACTATCACATGATCCCGAGGCTGTCATATCAACCCGAGACTGTCATATCAACCCTAGACTCCCATATCAACCCGAGACTCCAATATCAACCCGAGACTCCCATATCAACCCGAGACTATCACATGATCCCGAGACTGCCATATCAACTCGAGAATCCTATATCAACCCGAGACTATCACATGATCCCGAGACTGTCATATCAACCCGAGACTCCCATATCAACCCTAGACTCCCATATCAACCCGAGACTCCCATATCAACCCGAGACTCCCATATCAACCCGAGACTATCACATGATGCCGAGACTGCCATATCAACTCGACTCCCATATCAACCTGAGACTGTCATATCAACCCGAGACTCCCATATCAACCCGAGACTATCACATGATCCCGAGACTGCCATATCAACTCGGGACTCCCATATCAACCCGAGACTGTCATATCAACCCGAGACTCCCATATCAACCCTAGACCATATCAACCTGAGACTCCCATATCAATCCGAGACTCCCATATCAACCCGAGACTCTTGTTTTCATGTTTTCATAATTAACATTGTTACTGAGTCATTTTATAAATTGACTGAATTTAGAATTGTGACATATACATATTGTTTTATTTTCAGAAATGTTCTATCAGCAAACCGTACGTATACTTAATGTAATATAATGCAGTGATACTGAAATTAAGTACGTACGTCGGTTGCTTCTGAACATATACCGAGACAAACAGAAAGGTTCGAAATCGGCATCTGTGGTATTTGTAGCATCTGACAATTCACCCAATTCTTGGACTGAGATTTAACACACCAATAACACAAACACCCTGAACAGAGGGTCTGAGGGCGTTATGGGTCTCGATCTGACTTTGTTTGTTGGCACAATAGACCCGAACCTCATCTGCAGCATCTGCAGCCAAGTGTTCGTGAACCCCGTGTCAAACTCCTGTCATCACATCTTCTGTCAGTCGTGCATCAGGAGGCGCAGCAAGTCCAGGACGTCTCGATACTGTCCGGAATGCTCAACCAAGCTCCACGCAGAGTCCTCAGAGGTATCGGTGGAGCTAAAACTGAAGCTGTTGAGGTTGAGAATCAAGTGTAACCATGGGTGTGGCATTGTTTGCGAGCTAGCGGATCTTCCCGACCACGTGGCTGATGTGTGTCCTAACGCTCCTGTTTCTTGTCCTTACAAGAACGTTGGATGTTGTAAGACTGTGAAGAGGTGCGAGGCGAGTATTCATGCTGAGGAGTGCTATCACAGGTACGTGTTTGAACCAATTGCATTAAACGTGTCCAGAAAAAAAAAAAAAATATATATATATATCTATATATATATATATATATATATATAGATATATATATATATATATATAGAGAGAGAGAGAATATATATATTTGAACGAAAAATATGTATATATATATATTTAAACGAAATGATATGGTTATAATGTTGTAACAATTTTCTTCAGGAAGTCACGCAAGTGCATTTTAGTCTGTGAGTGTGTGAGCGAGTGAGTGAGATTGGTTTAACGCTGCTTTGTCTAGAAATTCAGTTCATATACCGCATGTCAGCTTTTTGTGGGAGGAATAAACAAAGATGCTCAGTATGTACACGTTCACCATTTTGATGAAACCATCAACCACGGGTGTGATCAAGGGTCATAAAAAGGGCGAACCTGGGAACACGACCCAACTTTCAAGCGAATCCTGAGAAGGGACATAACTCTGCACAACGAAATATGGAACTTTCTTGGGCCAAATATCATGCCTCCTAGTTCTCCCCCAACTACTTAACCCAAAGATATAATGCTGGGTTATTGCTAAAGGCGGCGTAAAGCCATACTGCTCACTCACCCTACTACTAAACCACCGCCCGCCCATTCCTACCGGGTCTTAACTTCGTTGGTTGGTTGGTTGGTTTGTTGTTTAACGCCGCACTCAGCAATATTCCAGCTATATGACGGCGGTCTGTAAATAAATGAGTCTGGACCAGACAATCCAGTGATTGACATCATGAGCATCGATCCACGCAATTGGGATCGATGACATGCATCAACCAAGTCAGCGATCCTGACCACCCGATCCCGTCAGTCGCCTTTTACGACAAGCATAGTCACCTTTTACGGCAAGCATGGGTTGCTGTAAACTTCGAACACATTGCATATTCATTATGGGTTTAAAGAAACATACACACCAATGTGTGACATTAAATTGTTCAGTTCAGTGAATAAATCTCAACCACAGTTACCCTTCCTGCAGATTTGTGGACTGCGAGGCTTGTGGGTTCCGAATTCAGTACTGTGACCTCTTCACCCACCAAAGCAAGACGCGATGCCTGGAGAAGAAGCTGAGACAACAGGTTGCGCGGGCAGCGAAATCAACCAACCTGGAGGTCCGGCGTCACCGAGACTACGTTCTACGTCAACATTTTCAACTTGAACGACATCAACGACAAGCGGTCATGAGCCATTTCAGATCCAAGCAACAAAGCTACTTGGACAGTGTACGTTCTAAACACAATGACGACACCAGCGATGACATGTTCTCCGACTCCTCTCCACGACCAAAGGATTCAGTTGCAGAAAACCAGTCTCTAGTTCTTAGTTTTGGCAAATCTCCTAGGCCGTCACACGCAGGGCAGAATGTCTTCACGTGTAAAAATTGCAAGAAACCATTCAGAGAAGCGGGCAACCATAGTATGGCATGTACCTACCACGCAGGGGTGAGAGTCTTTACTAAACCTACCTTCATAATTTCTTTTAATCCTCTCACCGCTTATGCAATGTGAGTGTAAAAAAATAATTATATCACAACATGAAATTTATTGATGACGCCTTTACCAGTTCCAGTAAAAACGTCCTGTAATAGGAATAATAACTTGTCATGTTTGTGAATATTTTATGGCTTCATTCTTATTGGTTAACTTAGATCTTGGTATTTCCCAAGTAATACACGATTTACGAAAGATATTTGACTTTACTCAAGTCACTTGTTTGTTCGTGTTTTATATTAATAAATAGAGAATCTCACCACGTGTCTTTTGATATCCAATATATCAACACGAGTTGAAAAAAGTGGAAAAGGTTTTTCCACTTTTATCAACGAGTGTTGATATGTTTGATATCCAAAGACACGAGGGTGAGATTTTATTTATCATCCAACATCATTCTTCCAACTTTTCAGTTTTAAGTGTAAAGAGTACTGCTAACAGCTTCAGTAGCAGAGCCATTAGTGATGTCATTTGATTGTGACGCCATGAAACAATGACGTCACAATGGCCTGCAAAGCATCGTGATGCAATTTCATTGCAGCGATATCTACAATGTAGATATCGCTTGATCTCGCCCAAGCGATATCTCCTGTGGGAGCCAGTTTTGGATGATAATATAAGTTTACAACTGCTTATATCTCATGCCCATAATTATTGTCATCCCCTAGATATATGCGCGTCAGCATAGGGGTGACTATAATTATGAGCATGGGTATATTAGTGTGGTCATGTGAGATACATATCATCTGGATGTGGACCAGGTCATAAATGCATTTATAAAAGTGTGTGATTGCAAAAGTATTGAGTACTCATTAGTTCATTAACTAAATAAGTAAAAGTGACAGTTACCGTCACTGAGTATCTCTGTTGAATGGTATATATTATTAATTAAGTGTAACGACTTAAGTCTTAAACCTACCGATTCTGAAACATTCATTTAATTTTCAGGATACATTATGGTTTTACTTACCTATTTTTTCCCAAAGCGTTTGTTGTTTTATGCTAGACATGTGGAGGACATTTCCAGATTTGACGCATCAGTGACGAAATTGATGTCCGATGCAATTCTTTGTTTTGACTCGTACCCTAAGTTCCTATGTTTTTTTAGGTGAAACATTAACTTGCCTTTGCATGTGTTTGTCAAACTGACGGGTGCCTCTAGTGGGACAGGATACGCTAAACTGTTCCTGACCACCTGGTATCATCACTATCTGATAGTGATTCATAAACACATGCTTTATGATATGCTAGTAGTCGGAAACATCGTACAATGGACTCTGCTTTTAGCATATTTCATATGAAAATGGAAAGTGTTTTTTGTCGCTTTTATTGTAACCCGTTCCAGTTGTGAAACGTAATCGCTTTAAACTCTCTATTTTTATTACATGTAACGCCAACAGCCAGTAAGTATACTCTTTCTATTTACATTAATATTTAACATGACTTTATAACACCTCTACGAAATAAACAGAATATTTGCTTTTCCACCGAAGAATCGTAAAATATTCATTTTTCAAATTCTACCCCAAAAGACTTGGGGGTTAACATTTTGATCACATCAGTCTCTATTCTGTATGTTCATAAAAAAGTTATTTTTCTAACTAATAGCCTTTGTTTTTTCATTTGATCCGCAGATTGTAAGTATATGTGTAAGTGTGCTTCTTGTGTGATACAATGTGCACCCATGTGGAAGGAGATATTCGAGGGGACATACATTTTGTTTAGCTTGTGGAACTGGCTACATGAATAACCTCTTATATCTGTGTTCATTGTGGTAAACTGAGTGGTGGGTTAGCCTAATGATTATTACGATTGCATTTCAAAACGGATATGTATGTTGCCTTCCGCGCCATGAAATACTAGTATATATTCATCGTTTATGTTTTCATCTCACGAGCTCGCTATGTGACACTGCATGTTTTGTGTGAAATTTAGAGATTGCGACTATGGTCTCCAGGAAAACCTGCCCTTTGGACAATAGTCCCCACCACACACCCCCTCTCCCCACCCATATATATATGTTGAGTTGTAGATGTAGATCTGAATTAAATACTCCTCCCCCCCCCCCCCCCCCCCCCCCCCACCCCCACCCCTACCTCAAGTATTACAGGGGCACGGGTGGCCCAGTCGTCTAAGGCGCCGAGATTCGCTATGCAGAGTTGCCTCCCTTGGGCACGCCAGAAACCTATGATTGTGGGTTCGAATCCCGGTTCGCCCCGATTATGTTTCTAGGTTTGTCAGCACCATACCCGTGCTCGTGGGTTTCACCGAAGTGGTTAACATCTGAGACCTGCATCACTTCGGGCTTCCTCCCACATTAAACTGACACGCCTTGATATAACTGGAATACTGTTAAAAGCGGCGTTAAACCCTACCCACTCACTCACACAAGTATTACAGCAAGAATCACCATACGACCACAAATATATCCCAAATTATGATCCAAAGGGACTTATTTCACACAATTTACTCCTCCTATAACATGTTTCGTATAAGACATAAACATTACATTACATGACGTAAATATATCTCTGTGGTCCTCGAACACCTCCTTTGAAACACGTACACCAGCTTCCTTCCTACTCGGTTATGCTCACTACTGCATATATCATCTACTGTACAGCCACTGACATGTATGTATGGCATCTGGCTTGCATGAAACGGATCTTAATATATAGGTAATGTCGACATCTATATATTTGAGAATGTATTTTATTTAATGTCCGTGTGTGCATCGGGGTAGCCTAGTGGTTAAAACATTCGCTTGTCACTCCGAGCATCCAGGTTCGATTCTCCACTTGGGTACAAAAACACGCCTGTTTCGCGTCGGGGTGTAGCTAATCATTAAAGCTGCATACAATCTAATCAGTTATGTTTGTAAATTATTATTAATGTCACACATGCCTTAGTCAAACCATTCTACAGTTCTGAAAATAAAGATATGTAAGTAGCGTTACCTCTGATATATGTTTCGCAGTGCCACTAATGGTTTTCCTGGTCAGTGTCTGTTTTATCATGTCTCAACAGAATCTTTTGAAACCTGGCGTATTTTAACATTATTTTTCATGTTTTGTATATAATTAGTATCACCATCAAATGCGACCCCATAAGGTAATACTAATTGTGAACTATTGGTACCAATGTTTTCTAACATTCCGAGATATACGATGGAAATCGTTGAATGGTGTATATTTATGATATTCTTCTACCTACTTGGAAAGATAGATACAATAGACTATTTCACCTTAAACAATTAATTACATATGTTTAAGATGGATAAATTTAAATCTGTCACTCCATTTATCGAAACTACATGTACATGCCTGCTCGTTTCCATGGTGATGTTGAGATGTACTTTCCTAACAGCATGAAGTGTACACAATCATGGTTGCCGTTGTCATGGTGATTATGTCTATAAACCACACTACTGCACATGTGTAAGTGCTCGTTTCCCTATGACAGACACTATTGCACAGATGAGAGTTACTTCATGTTATTGTAATGGTGAATGTCACATTCGTTCTGTAGTGGTGAATGTCACGTGTATGTAATTTATAAGGTATGCTGTGTTATAAGAAAAGAGCTTCCATTTCAGTTTTCATTTCAGTTAAAAACAACTGATTAATTGTAACATGATATTATTATCAAGTGTTAATGTGCTTAATAACACATGAAATCATCTTTAAATAATTAAATTAATTTTTTTTCGCTGATCATTCCTTTTCTGTTCACACATTACTATTTAATTGTACATGCACACAACTATTTACTAAATACGATCAACTTTATAAGAATATATTTTTATTTAGTGAGTATATGTTATATTATATTTAATCTGTATATTAACGCCACATAAATATGTGTAACTAAACATATAGAATCATATTTAGACTAACAAATATTTGTTCTTCCTTTTTTTCATATGGATGGGACAGATCGACGTAAGTGTATACATTTCGAGAATTAATAAAATGGTTAACTACAAAGTTACAAGAGTTATAACATGTATAAAACCTTGATAAGAGATAACATGTACACAATCTCATTGTTAACGATCTTAATCTTGTGCACAATGAAGGTTGAAAGTTTGCACAATTTTGACATGCACATGAGGTTGTATTATAGTTGACGCGTTCATGTACTTCTCTACTATCACACCAATTGACCGACTCCGTGGTCTAGTGGATAGAGCGTCTGCCCGGAGAGCGGAAGATCGGGTTTTCGATCCCCGACCGCGTTATACCAGTAGACGTTAAAGGATGGTACTTGTTGTTACCTTGCCTGGCGCTCAGCGTTAAAAGGATAAAACAAGGACTGGTCTGCTCGGAGCATACCGAGTGGGGTATTTATGTTAAACTGCGGCATTAGTCTGGACAAGCAGCCACACACACACACGTCGCTATATGAGTGCAATTTCACCTCACCTAATCAGCCTAATCAAATTAGAATAAGATGTATTTTTGTTTCTTTTTCATATTGATCGATCTTGATAGCTTTTTGTAAGTATAATTTCTTCTCTTCTTGGATGTGTGTGTAACTTGAGGTAACTTTTGGACATTTCCATTTAGGACAAGTTTAATTTTCGCCATTTCTTTCAACCAACGAACATTATTGCATTCAGGCGTCCAATTAATGTGTGTTTTTCGTGAAACGTTTAATTTGTATTTTTGGGTCATATTATTCATTTCTGGGGGAATATGGTCGGTTCCTTCACTTCGTGACATGTTTCATGGCAAATAATAATTGGTACTTGTTTGTATTTCATGCTCTACCTACAACTGTGTTCGACAGGGTGTAAGTATTGATTGATTATTATAATAATAAAAGTAAATTGTATTACGTACATTTATAGCTTTTTACGAGTCCTTGATAAGATAACAGTTCCCATATTTGTATCATTTCTATTAACGGACATTCATCGATACAGATAATACAGAACTTACAGCTTTATTGTTTCCAAATGGCAAAAGGAATGATGGCATGTCTTCATTTATTTTCATGATCTCGACCACCTGCGGACAAATAGGGGGTAAGTAATATGTTTTGCTATCATAATCTTAACTTGTATTGTGATTCATTCTTTAACTTTTGGCGAATTTAAATTATGTGGTATGGATAGTTCGTTACTCTGGATGCATCTACATGACTGTGAGTGAGTGAGTGAGTGAGTGAGTGAGTGAGTGAGTGAGTGAGTGAGTGAGTGAGTGAGTGAGTGAGTGAGTGAGTGAGTGAGTGAGCGAGCGAGCGAGCGCGTGCGTGCGTGAGTGAGTGAGTGAGTGAGTGAGTGAGTGAGTGAGTGAGTCAGTGAGTCAGTGAGTCAGTGAGTCAGTGAGTGAGTGAGTTGGGTTTAACGCTTGAAACTGTATTCCAGTTATATCACGACGTGACCGCTTGATGTGAGAGGAAGACCCGAAGTGATGCATGTCTCAGACGTTTACTACTTTGGTGAAACCTAGAGCACGGGTATGGTGCTGACAAACCTAGAAACATTATCGAGGCGAACTTGCATTCGAACCTACAATCATAGATTCCTGGCGTGCCGAAGGAACGCAACTCTGTATAGCGAATTGTGGTGTCTTAGGCGCCTGGGCCACCCGTGCCTTAAGTATGCGCATTACACACACATGAATTGCCATTGCAGACATGCTACAACTGTGGAAGGATGGACTACCAACACGGGTGTAAGACTGGAAAACACGTGTCGTGAAACAGGAACATCGTATGTTATCCTGCCAGATGTCCCTCAACTACCTTGCAAAGCACAAGTCTCATAAAACCGGAAACCTCACATTCCGAACCACAGTCATGCCAACGTATTGAAAGTCTGACACAGTTGTATTTATTGAGGACATTCGTAAATATGGGTGTCCGCACTGCAGAGGTCCCACTATGATATTCTGTATAATAGTCAAAGGATAATCTGGGCAAGTGGCATGCTGGTCACAGTCAGGACGCTTTCTACACGCATTGTTGGACAGGACATAACTGCATCGTGTTTACCTGACTAGGAATCAGGATTTTGTCAAATAATGGTCATTGATTTGACATTACGTGTGACGTTCATTCTTGATTTTGTTGATGAAAATACGAACTTTGTCAATCTTTTCTAACATAAAGAATATGTTTGTACTGCATTTTGTTATTGTGCACAGTGAATGCTGCGCTATACAAATGCATATATTATTATTATTGTATATCGTACAGCGTATTTGGGCACTAATAAATGATAATTTATGTTATAGATATGGCATTTACTATAGCAAGTCTATTGTGATGGGATTAAGTGGATTGAAGAATCATTTCAGGCCACACCATATATATATTTTATGTATCATATCCGGGCACAATGTATGGGTACACCATCATTGAATTGATACAGATACATCCACCGGAAACTGGAGACGGAAATAGATGTCCCCTTCGTTGAATACTTTGATACTTCCACTGGGACTAGAGACGGAAATAGATGTCCCCTCCGTTGAATACTTTGACACATCCACTGGGACTAGAGACGGAAATAGATGTCCCCTCCGTTGAATACTTTGATGCATCCACTGGGACAAGAGACGGAAATAGATGTCCCCTCCGTTGAATGGTCAGATACATTCACTGGGACAAGATACGGAAATAGGTGTCCCCTTCGTTGAATTGTTTGATACATTCACTGGGACAAGAGACGGAAATAGATGTCCCCTTCGTTGAATGGTTTGATACATTCACTGGGACTAGATACGGAAATAGATGTCCCCTCCGTTGAATACTTTGATGCATCCACTGGGACTAGAGACGGAAATAGATGTCCCCTTCGTTGAATGGTTTGATGCATCCACTGAGACCAGAGACGGAAATAGATGTCCCCTTCGTTGAATGGTCAGATACATCCATCGGGAGCGAGAGATGGAGGGAGCTGTCCCTGTTATTAAATGTATAGATGCATCCATCGAGATCGATGCTCACCTCGGCGCTGGCGCTGCACTGACCCAGGCAATGACTGCACAATGGCGGTCTCCACTAGACGAACAAACATGGCGGACACGTCATGTATTTACTATAGAAAAACGCTAGAACGGGTGGTTAAACTTTTTTCTAAGCATTTTCATAAATGCTCTTGCAATGTATACGTCACGAGAATAACGTCCATTGTTACTTTTAGTGAAGGAAACTTAAGCTGTTTTTAACAGTGATATGTGCGTTATAATTTCGTGTCAGCTCACTGTTGTTTCGAAATCGTATACATAATACATGGAATTAAACGACCACGTTAATGAAATACCGTTAGCAACTTTATTTTACCAAATTTGATGACGCAAATGTCGCCGATTATGCCCTGTTTTCTCCTATTGTAAAATGGTGGGTTTAGCGGAATTATTGAATGCCCAGTATAATAACTAAAAAAAACCAAACACTTTTGATCCGTAATAATGGTATTTAATGACAGGGTCTCTCATTGGTTGCGATGTTTGGCTTCTGGATTGTATTCACATGAAAAGCGATTTATTTGACATTTGTTTTCTTATTACACAATGAAATTAATCATAAATAGATGTAATAATTTTGGAAAAATAATTGATTAATTCCAATCTAGTGGTCCTGAATTATGTGTGTGCTTGTAAAAATGTCAGGGCTAAATGGCATAATAATAAAGAATATGTTCATAATTTTGAATTAATTTGGTACAGTGAGCTGACACGAAATATTAACGCACATATCACTGTTGAAAATGGGGTGTGTGTCATTGTTCACATTTCACCGATGTGACGACCACTTTCGAGTCTCAAAACAGCTTAAATAATGTTTTCCTTCACTAAAAGTAACAATGGACGCTATTCTCGTGACGTATACATTGCAAGAGCATTTATGAAAATGCTAAGGAAACTTTTTAACCACCCGTTCTAGCGTTTTCCTATGGTAAACACATGTCGTGTCCGCCATGTTTGTTTGTCTAATGGAGGCCGCCATTGTGCAGTCATTGCCAGGGTCAGTGCAGCGCCATCTGAGCCGACCAGTCCTTGTTTTAGCCCCTTAATGTCGAGCGCCAGACAGAGTAACAACAAGTACCACCTTTTAACGTATTTTGGTATGATGCGATCGGGGATAGAACCCCGGATCTTCCGTTGTCCGGGTGGACGCTCTACCAAAGTAAAAGAGATACATTCGTTGATGAGGTGAATACACAGGTGTACACTCATCCTTTGAAATGCTTGAAATATGAGAAGGCGAATAGTATTCTTCAAAAATTGTCACGGCATGGATCTTGGCAATCCAGTGGTTGAAAGCATGAGTAACGACCCATGCCGTCGGGGCACTATGACACACAGTCACCCAGTCACACATTGTTATCATCCCCATCAGGCGGCCCTTATGACAAATATATCCACAAAGGAGTTTGTGTCTTTTTGGTAAGGGTGATTATACTTTAACCAAATTGCAAAATTATAAACATGAATTACAAAATTGAAGATGATTGTATACTCAAACTATTCACGTCATGAAGGTTCAACTATAAGGTAATGCATAGGCGACAGGTTATGTATGAATTATTTGCACATTCATCGCATGTGAGTTGACGAGTATATACGAAGGGAAAACTCACATGAGGTAAATAAGTTAAACGTTATATATAATTATTCACTACACCCTCACTGCAATGTTATAGTCATGATTGATACTTGGAGACAGCGCATTGAAGACATGTCACACATCGCGGCTTGAGACGAGAGTGAGATAAAATTTTAACATCGGCATTATTTCAGCCATGTCGTGACTTGCAAAGGGTATACATAATCAATACATTTAAACCAGAAAAGTCTAACACAGATTGAAATTTAAAACAACCATGGAACCAAAAAATTACATCACGATACATAACAATACATTATCAAAACGGGCTATAGATCGCCAGCAGCAGACAACCTTGTTAGGAACCGTGGTGACTTACGATACTTCTGCTACCTGCACGCTTCCCCAGTAGGATTTACACCATCCCTTCAGCCGCTGGCGATTGTATGCATTTTTAGACAACCGCTGGCGATTGTAAGCAATTTTAGACAAAACTTTAAATAACAAATATTCTACTTAAAGGAGTAGTAGACATAAATATTCTTTGAACGACATGGCCTTATGACATCCCAGATCTGAATTATAGAATGGTAAACCTTCTATTGGTGGCATGCGTCTTATTTTTTAAAACATGCACTGGGTCTACTTACAGTATGGTATATCAGTTGCACGAGGACAACGTGGCTACGACCTCGTCCTAGAGGATACAATGATATATACATGGACGGGATGTTGACACTACGACCGTACTAGCCATACAGCTGGAGGTATCTCGATGTGCAGATTTGTGTGGTGAAGACAAAGGGATCGAAGATTTCACATACAAAAGTCCAAACGGATGTAGGGATCGTGCGATTGGATCAGGGCCAGTGTTTAGTAAGATATCTTTTAAACTTCACTCACGTACTGTATCATCTACCTGTGACGATAAAAAATGTAAAGTTGATGAAACACGCGGTGGCAATGTTACTAACCATCAGATGTAATGAAATATGCTTGGAAGTACGATTTTGAGAATATTTTTCTATTGTCAGTTCAACTGATTCTTCATGGATGTCGTGTTTATTTTATTGTTTGATGTTAGTCAAGTTGTTAACATGTTCACGGATACATTGCTAAGGTCAGCTGCGTGCATAAAGCGTATGTCCAGCTGCAGCTTACCTGATTGGTTTGATCACACTCGTCAATCTCTATAACAACAACGTTATTTTTTAAACCGGTAGCGAGCGCAGAAAGTCTCTCTCTGCATACATAACATCTGGAAATGCACTTAAATCAGGCTGCAGTGCTGCAGTGCTGTCAAACGTGACTTTCAGTTTAAGTCATTATCTGATTTAAATGGGGTCATATTTGAATGATTTGAATGAGGCCTTTAAAAGAGTTTCTCATAAAGAAATATAGTGGCTGTGGGTAATGGGAATTAGAACATGATGTTCCACAGAAACTCAAAAATGTATTTGAGCAACAGATAATACATTTAATGCGTCAAATAGTAGATAACAAATACAAACTAGCAGCAAATAAAGTAAAAATAAAGTAAATTTAACAAAACTGAACATGAACTTAATATTGTCATAGTAAAAACCTTGAAGATGAATATCATGTCCTGCTTATATGTCGGTATAACAAAGAACTACGGATGCGTTAACATTTTCCGAATGCCCATCAAAAACTATCTTTTTATCATCAACAAGAAACCATAATTTATTGCATAACTTAGCTTTGTTCATCAATCATACATTGTGAAGTGAAAGCTTGTCTTTCAGCCCATGGCTTGAAGTGATGTAAGTATTGTGACCTACAGTTCAGAAATAAACAAACTATTATAAGCTTTGTAACGACTGTATACCAAGGTGTGTCATTTCAATCAAGGGATCCCGGATCTGGTTTACTGCAAACCCAAAGTCACTTAGGTTAATATAATTGCAGTTGTAATCTACAAGAAGATGTATAGTATTTTGTATTTCTAGACAGACATATTGTTTTTCAAGTCTCACCTTAAATATATACACACAAAACGGGAAAATATGTTTCACAACTGAGCCCCTCCGTAATGGAGCTACCAGAGATTTTTTCATTGGACAAATGTAAAATCTTGTACAAAGAAATATATAATATGTACATTCTACATAAAATTAAATAAAAAGTGTAAAGATAAAATAAAATTATTAACTAATATGCATTATGTTGAATCATTTACCCAAGTTCAGTTTGCAAGTTTTGGCAGAAGGTTTTATACAATTCTGGACATGATAGAATGTGGCACTTTCTCTACATCCATAAGATGCATAAAATCACTGCGAGATTGCAAACATTTGTCAAGACAATATTCCGTCAAGTCATTATAGAAGTGGTCTATAATCTAGATGCATCAACATCCGAAACCATCCATAAAGTATTGACAAAAGTCGAACATCATCGCACTGCCTTGTTATTCGCCGCGCATATTTATTACATAACAACACGCATAACAACATGCAACACTATCCAAACACCCTAACACTACCATGCAGTCAGCACAACACTGTCACATTACAGTAAACTACGGTTATAACGAACTCAAAGGGACTACTAATTTGAGTTCGTTATAACCGTAATTCGTTATAAGCATATATACAGTATAACTACAGCAAATAGTCGGGACTAAAAAGTTAGTTCGTTATATCCGTTAGTTCGTTATAAGCGTGTTCGTTATAACCGTAGTTTACTGTATTTTCAAAACATAACACTGTCACATTGGTTTCAAAATACAACACTGTCATATTGCACACATTCACTCACTAACAAAACATTAACACCCTGTACTCAAAACACAACACTGCAATTCTAAAGTCACCACAAAACCTTTCACATTGTTTCCTTACACAACACTATGACATTGAAATACAAAGAACACACATTTTAATCATGTACTCCAAGCAACACAACACTGTCATAGTTTACTCCAAGCAAAAGTACACAACAAACCAACACAACACACATATCCAATAAGCTAGGGTTCATAGGGAAACACCGCCTCCGTGGTCTTGTGGTAGTGCGTCCGCCCGGAGAGCGGAAGGTCCAGGGTTCGATCCCTGGCCGCGTCATACAAAAAGACGTTAAAAGATTGTACTTGTTGTAACCCTGTCTGGCGCTCGGCATTAAGGGGCTAAAACAAGGACTGGTCGGCTCGGAGTCAGTATACTGTGTCTGAGTGGGGTATTCATGTTAAACTGCGGCATGGTATCTCAGTGAGCTAGCACTATAAATCGGCATCAGTCCGGACTAGTACAAGCAGCCACACACACACATACACGTGCATGCACGTCGCTATATAAGTGCAATAATCTTGGACGCGACGTTAAACCCAATTTCACCTCACCTCATAGGGAAACAATACCAAGCTACATGAACCGTGCAGTAGATGACGCGTTGATTATATACAGACTCAACTTTGTATTCTGCGTCATTAGCCAGCTAAACAGCGATGGTGTTTTGGTGTCTTGTTCTGGTGTTTGCTCTCTCCGCCCTTCCCCTTGCGGATGGGAGGAGATGTCCCTCCCCACCCCCGGGCATCAACAAGATGAGACGAGGGGTGGATGTAACAACCCTAGATCTTTTGCCGCTTGATCTGACGACTAGCAATCCTGATGGATTCAAGAGACCGATTATTGACTTCACCTGTAATCTGAACCTTACCTGGACCGATCGTAAAAAGGTAAAACGATGCGATAAGCTAATAATTAGTGGATTATTTAATTGAAGTGATGGATTTACCATAATGTACATCATTTACGATCGAAGTAGGCAGTGAAGTTGTCTACGAAAGGCTTAATATTAACTAACATCTTTCAAAGAGAGTGTGTGAGTAAATGATTGTGTTTTTTAAAAAGTATTTCAGCAATATCACGGCGAGGGGCTCCATAAATGGACTTGTTTGGAATCGAACCCGGTCATTGTGCAAAATGAGCGAACGCTTTAAACAATAGTCTACCTACCCCATCGACCCTCTTTTAAAAGAACAAGCATTTAGACCAAGACATAGACAGAAATAATTTCTCTTGCATACATTGAAATACAATCCTAAATGATCGATTTAGATTTACGATTGTTGACTCTGGTTGATTAAATTGGAGTTTGGGGTTTTAGAAGGATGGGGATTCATAAGATCAGTACTTATGCATATTTAATTAAATGACGCAAAAGTGTGTTTCAAATCTATATGAGTGGAAATTGTGTTTACAAACAGATTAGCTATCCCTTTCCATTATAAAAATACTCGAACGTTTAAACACCTGTCAAAACGGCATATAGTATTTATCAAACTCCATATTCAATTACTATCTCAGACAAACAATACTCTTTTCTTGAGCTTTTGTCATCAATCGGGCCGTTGCCTGTACTTTTGAAGTAACCAATTCCGAGGTAACCACAAAAATACAAAACAATTCTATATTTTCCAGAACACATACGATCTCCCAGATCAAATATGGGACATACTCAGCGTGCCGGGAGGTTGGTCACATGCTAACGAAAAGATCTTTAAGAACTATAACGAAGTGAAAAGGACAATGGCAGCAAGTGCTGGAATCAGCGTGAGTTTTATGTTTGGCATGTTTTCAGCCAGTGGGTCGTACACCAAGATGCAACACACTCTTACACGTACATCCCAGTATATTGAGGAAGTATCAGCTTACGACGCGGCCTTGAAGATTGACTTTCTACCAGCATTTGACTTGAAGACCAGTAGGTACTTCAAACACTTTATTGACAGGCTTTCAACAAACTTTACGAGTAATCCGTCATCTTATTTTAGATTTATTCGTTACTTTGGCACTCATTATTTTACGTCCGGTAACTTCGGTGGAGCCATAAAACTGCACATTGAAACCAAATCAAGCTACTACGATGGGAAGACTACCAGAGATGTACGAGCTCAAGCCAAGGCATCATTTCTCAGTCTGGTGAAAATTAGAGGCAGCGGTTCCAGTTCTAGCAGCCAGATTGACAGGAACTTCAAGAAATCTTCAACTGAATCTCTTAAGTAGGTTTCTTTAGAAATTTTATACATTTTTAAACTTATCCGATCTCACACTATGCACACCATTATGTGCCTACCCCCAAAACGAGCATGCTGTAGGACGAAAACGTCCATAAAACGCTCATTAGGACGTCTCCTAACTCGATTCCTTCGGTCATTGAAGTCGAGAGTGAACCTCGATTCGTCCAAAAACATGACATCAGTCCAACATTGATTACCCCAATACTGACGTTCTCTACACCACTGACGCCCCTGACTCAAATTACGTGCAGTAATTGTGGGGTGCCACGTGGACGTCGTGCACGCAGACGATTTCTCACCGTCTTGGGCATGTACTCTCATACCAGTTGCCAGTTGCGACCGGTCCCTTATCTGAGAAACAGTTTGCAACCAACTTCTTAATGTCATCGTTCCGACTAATCTGTCCTGGGCTGGAGTTTTCGCCCTTGGCTATCGACGTTATGTTTTTGTTGGTATTGGGCCCTCAATCTGCTGGTGACAGATTGAGAAACATGCATTCTTTGGGCAACAATATTCTGACGTGTGTCCACCTGCAACAAGTCTGTGTCAGTAAACGTTCAGCACGTCGCATGAGCAATACTGTTGCTTTCTAATTATTAAATGTGTTTGGTTCCAGGAAAACAATATGCGATTTCTCACAACTGAGTCTGAGTGACAATAGAAAATCTGGCATACCATACCTTGCACGTGCTGTCCGAGGTCACGTGCTTCATGACAGTCACAATGTTGTGTTTGGGAGCTTGATTTCTTCGGAAATGTTCTTGCCACATAAATCACTTACTTTCACTGCCAGATAATCCTGTAACCGATCAGAATAACCAGTGCCACGATAGCGTGTTTCTTAATTGTGTTGCAAATGAAAATGATATGTTAATTTGAACTTTGCCAAATATGGCATGCTTATTTTCAGCCCTATTTTGCCTTTTACGCTCAATTGAATCTGTTTTCGCCAATATCATCGAGACTGGTTGTGCTCCGGCGTTGACGTTTTGTATACAATGTATTTTTGTAGTTGACTCTGCATAATTGATAAATGCTCCAGAGCGTAGGATGAAACTCGGGGACTCGGGGTCCTCCAGCAAAAGGTTAGTGAATGAGTGGGTGAGTGAGTATGGTTTTAGCCGCTTTTAGCAATATTCCAGCAATATCACGGCGGGGGACACCAGAAATGGACTGCAAACATTATACCCATGTCGGGAATAGAACCCGGGTCTTCGGCGCGACGAGCGAACGCTTTAACCAGTAGGCCACCCGACCGTCCCCCAGCAAAAAGTCCCCAGTTGGAGTAAATATAGAACGCTAACGCTGGGCAATAATCAGTCGTGATATCAGATTCCATCGGGCGTAAAAAATAAAATTGTGACTATGCATACAAATTTTCAGGAGGTTTAAAACAGAACTCAGAATAAAATGGGGTAACAATTGAAAAACTACAGATAGAAGTCATGCATTATATAAGTATGAGATCGGTGGGGTAGCCTTGTGGTGGAAGTGTTGACCATGGTTCGATTCTTTACGTGGATACATGTTCGAAGCCCAGTTCTAATATCCTCAGCCGCGATATGGCTGGAACAAGCGGTGTACAAGTCTACCCCTTCGCCTATATGATAATAATTATATCCGACATCTAATACATTTTTAAGGTACTTCGGTGGTGATGTCAATCTGCTTTCAAAAGGTCTAACAACTTGGCAACCTACAGTCATAACAAACCCATGGCTCTTTTCGGGGGAAATAGCTCCTCTCAGTGACTTTGTTGAGGATGCGACCAAAAAGAAGTCCTTCGATCGTGCGGTAAGTAGCTATATCAACAAGGCCAACCTCCGGGAAATCGAGCGACTTTTGATTGCATCAGCATCATTCAGTGGCGTACAATCACTTCTCACACGAGTAAGAGCAGAACTGAAAAAGATTGAGCCAACCCAGAGCATTGTGGACCAGCTTGGCAAAGAAGTTGCACTGGATTTTCAAGTCCCTTCGTGGTTTACCGAGGACCTACAGTTATGCTTCAAGTGGTATGCAGATGGAGATGCTGGTCAGTGTGGTGGAGGGGTTGGTAGACTCCTATGTGCACCACCTGGACGAATGACTCAAGTCTACAGAGATGACACTGACAGAAGGGCAGGAGGATGTAGAATGAGTTGGGGACTCATTCCGAAAAGTAAGACGCAGCCATTGTGGTTCCATTCAGTAAAACTCTGCTACAGATGGTATGCTGATGGAGATGCTGGCAGTTGTGGATACTCACGAGACACCTACTGCGCATCCTTTGGAACATATACTAGAATATACATGGATGACACCGACAGGCGACCTGGTGGATGTCGAATGTCCTGGAAGCTGTCTGTTGCCAGCACATCCCCGAAGTGGCTGAAGAATGCCAAGCTGTGCTACAGTTGGTATGCTGACGGTGACGGTGGTCAGTGCGGTGGAGGGGTGGCTCAAGATCTCTGCGCCAAGGCCAACCAGTGGACGACGTATTACCGGGACGACACTGATAGACGGCCTGGGGGATGTCGGATGAGCTGGGGCATCAAACTATGATGACTCTAGTCCATTGGCTTCAAATTACAACGTGTTTGTTTTCACGCTCGTATTAATAAAGCCACAAGCTAACTTAAACATGGCGGCTTGTTATTTAGTGCATGTAAGCGAATTTAACACTTATAGATAGAAAAAGGTAAACGATTAATTCATATGGCCAAAATGCCATAAGGGTCCCACAATTTAATACCCTGTATGTGTATGTGCGTGTTTGTGGTGGTGACGTGTGTGTGGGGAGGGGCAGGGTGTTGGGGTGGGTGGTGTTTGTGGTAGTGAGGGTGGCGTGTGTTTACAGACAGGCTATATTATTAGCCAGTGCTTTAAAAGACACGATGGTTTTCTAAAAGAGGAGGCAAAAGGGATTTGATGTCGAACGTACCATTATCTGATTGCCATACCTTGCCATGTGTTATTGTGTCACTATGAGTATCAGTTATATTTAATTTATTTAACTGGACTGAATATCAGTATTCATGTATTGTCCCTGAAGATGAGGGTTAACTTATATTTTTACTAAGTAAATACGGCCACAGTCATATTCATTCCATCATACAGACGCAAAATTGGAATTGCATTTGGGTTCTGGGGGTCGGCGATGTACATCTTCCCGAGGCAAGGGAGTTAACTGACTATAAAAATCCAGTTTCCTACCTTGCCGAACTAGGCTCGAATTATTGAGCTATATTTTGGCTGGTCTAACGAGTCTATGCATAGTCCAATCAAAACCACGTTACGAAATGATCATCCGGTTCGTTAAGTGCCGTACAGATTTTGGTCGATTGCAGGATTTGCAAAGCATGTATACCGCCAACTCGGCCGCAACAGATATTTTCCAAATCTTTTCAGGTTTTTAATCACGTTGCTCACGTGATTTGAAGCACTTTGCGAAGTAAGAGCCGTTTTATTAAAAAATACATCTTGATTATCAATTAGATCGTCTTGACTTGGCGACGCCATTTTGTGTGAAGCAAATGCAAGTGATATGAGAAATGGAATTTGATTGGTCATTTGGAGGTATATAGAAGGGACATAACTCGTAATAGCCAATGGTGAGGCTACGATCGAGCCCAGAAGTTCCAGCCTAGTTCGGCAAGGGTGGCAACATGACTTTACAGTCAGTTAACTGCCTTGCCTCGGGAAGATGGCGACGTACTCTTAGTGGTCAAAGCAGTGTCACCTCACCAGGAAGGGCCATTTTCGATGCCCCAAAATAGTGAGGCCCCTCCTCATAATGTCAATCACTATTTCGTCTGGTCTGGTTAAAAAGCCGCCGTGATGTAGCTTGAATATCGCTGACTGTAAACAATTGAACCTGAATCAGCAAAACCAGTGATTATCAACATAAGCAACGATAACATGAGATACGACGACACATAATCAGCCAGGTTGCTCATATTCTTATAAATAGGACCCGTGAAGATCCGTCCAGAATAGGTCTTCAGCAACCCATGCTTGCCGTAAAAGGAGACTATGCTTGTCGTCAGAGGAGACTAACGGGATCGGGTGGTCAGGTTCGCTGGGTTGTCTGGTTCAGACTCGATTATTTACAGACCGCCGTCACATAGCTGGAATATTGCTGAGTGCGGCGTTAAACAACAAACAAACAAACAGTCGTATAAATAACATGGGTTAATCAGAACCTATTCTATTCAAGACTCCTCGTAGAATTCAAGATAATAGGAGTATTCACATTGGTGGCATGATATTGATAGACACAGGTGCTGTATAAAACTCGAGTTAAAACTTTGTTGTATTCTGGACAACGGAGGCATACCCTCGAAACCTGTTTAGCCCGTTCAACACAGTCAAGTGAGTAAATGCTTTCGAAACGATTTCGATTCCCAACATGTGTAAGCTTATTTCTTGTGTTCACCGTCGTAATAATGCTGGAATATTGCGCTGCGCGGTATGAGACCCACTCACTTTAGACCACTGCATGTCCTACATATGAACTTCATATTACAATGTCAACGCTTATCGCTTCAAATCAATAGTTTGACTCTAGCTGCTGCAACATTTACATGTATATATGCAGCTGTCGCCGTGGTGGTTCCTATCACTGATACACTGGTGTTTTGTTTGACACTGCACCTTGGCTTCTCACCATTGCTCCATTATCAAAATATGCTCACTAAACGAACGTGTTTTTCCATACACACCTTTACAACGTTACGAAAGCTGGCACCTATAATGGTGGTTAAATCTCTATAACATACAGTAAAGCTAAAGTTTCTATCGATGTATAAGTTGAAGAAACATAACAGATGATGTATATGTCTCATGAAATTAGTAAAGCTGAGGTCAGCTGCTCTAGAGTCATTTGAGCCAAGGCTCAGGTGACTCCCCTTAGGCCGAAACGACTCCCCCGTCGAAGGCTCAGATAACTCACCAGGCTCCTCAAATGACTCCTCCATTTGTTTTGAACGTTACAAATGTTTTGACACTAATTGTGCAACAGTCTGTTGTGGATACCGTTGATCCTAATATCAAAGAATTGGATATAGAACAGGGGGTGTAGTTTGAGCCTCATATGAAAGAATCGGATATAGAACAGGGGGAGTAGTTTGAGCCTGATAGCAAAGAATTGGATATAGACCAGGGGGAGTAGTTTGAGTCTGATACTAAAGAATTGGATATAGAACAAGGGGAGTAGTTTGAGCCTGATATCAAAGAATTGGATATAGAACAGGGGGAGTAGTTTGAGCCTGATAGCAAAGAATTGGATATAGACCAGGGGGAGTAGTTTGAGTCTGATACTCAAGAATTGGATATAGAACAAGGGGAGTAGTTTGAGCCTGATATCAAAGAATTGGATATAGAATAGGGGGAGTAGTTTGAGCCTGATAGCAAAGAATTGGATATAGAACAGGGGGAGTAGTTTGAGTCTGATACTCAAGAATTGGATATAGAATAGGGGGAGTAGTTTGAGCCTGATACTCAAGAGTTGGAAATAGAACAAGGGGAGTAGTTTGAGCCTGATACTCAAGAAATGGATACAGGACACAGGGAGTATTCTAAAAATAAACAATAGATTAAGAAACGTATAGTGTTTTAGGAGAGGCACCTGTAGTTTTTTCCAAATAAAGTTAAATATAAAACTGTAATAAAATAACTGATACTTAAACATCTGACACACAATATTGGGGATTGTTCTTAACCTGACATTTCCGAATAGAAAATGAGGAAGAGGGTTTAAAACCTTTATTATACAAGATATATTTGATCTTTTCTGTCATCATTTTAATTCAAAACAAGGGGGGTCATTTGGGCCCAGTAGGGGAGTTAGATGGGCCTAGAGGGAGTGTTTTGAGCCAGGCTAGGGGAGTCACGTGAGCCTAGGTCCATATGACTCTAGAGTCAAATTTAGGGGAAGTCGTTTGAGCCTACTGCACCGGTTCCAAAACATATAGATATACTTTTACAACGAAATGCCATGCAGGAAATATACAACACATGTGACAAGGTGCAGATAATACACAACACATGTGACAAGGTGCAGGAAATATACAACACATATGACAATATGCAGGTAATATACAAAACATGTGACAAGTTGCAGATAATATACAACACAATGTGACAAGTTGCAGATAATACACAACGCATGTGACAAGGTGCAGATAATACACAACACATGTGACAAGGTGGAAGAAATACACACACATGTGACAAGGTGCAGATAATACTCAACACAATGTGACAAGGTGCAGATGATATAAACACAATGTGACAAGTCGCAGAATATACACAACACATCTGAAAATATGCAGATAATACACAACACAATGTGACAAGGTGCAGATAATACACAACACAATGTGACAAGTTGCAGATAATACACAACACAATGTGACAAGGTGCAGATAATACACAACACATGTGACAATATGCAGATAATACACAACACAATGTGACAAGGTGCAGATAATACACAACACAATGTGACAAGTTGCAGATAATACACAACACAATGTGACAAGGTGCAGATAATACACAACACAATGTGACAAGTTACAGATAATACACAACACAATGTGACAAGTTGCAGATAATACACAACACAATGTGACAAGGTGCAGATAATACACAACACAATGTGACAAGTTGCAGATAATACACAACACAATGTGACAAGTCGCAGAATATACACAACACATCTGAAAATATGCAGATAATACACAACACAATGTGACAAGGTGCAGATAATACACAACACAATGTGACAAGTTGCAGATAATACACAACACAATGTGACAAGGTGCAGATAATACACAACACAATGTGACAAGTTGCAGATAATACACAACACAATGGGACAAGTTGCATATAATACACAATACATGTTACAAGGTGCAGATAATACACAACACAATGTGACAAGGTGCAGATAATACACAACACAATGTGACAAGGTGCAGATAATACACAAAACAATGTGACAAGTTTCAGATAATACACAACACAATGTGACAAGTTGCAGATAATACACAACACAATGTGACAAGTTGCAGATAATATACAACACAATGTGACAAGTTGCAGATAATACACAACACATGTTACAAAGTGGAGGAAATATACACACACGTGACAAGGTGCAGATAATACACAACACAATATGACAAGGTGCAGATAATACACAACACAATGTGACAAGGTGCAGATAATACACAACACAATGTGACAAGGTGCAGATAATATACAACACATGTTACAAGTTGCAGATAATACACAACACAATGTGACAAGGTGCAGATAATACACAACACAATGTGACAAGGTGCAGATAATACACAACACATGTGACAAGTTGTAGATAATACACAACACATGTGACATGGTGCAGGAAATATACACACATGTGTCTGGTCAGACAAATTACCGAATATTATGTTGTTATTTTCAATAACATAACATTTACATCACTTTATGCAGGTTGTTTTTGCCATTAGTATATGCCTGTAGTATTTCACGGCTATTACACGGCTGGAATAATGCATAGGTATAGGATCGTTGAAAGGTACGATGCATCCACCGGGAACTGGCGATGGAAATAGATATCACATT